AAAAAAAAAAAAAAAAAAAGAAGTGGAGAAGTACAATATAATATGTCGCAGTTGATTTTTCCCAGTCTTTTTTGCCATGTGAAAATTATTATTTTCAATGTGTTCAATACATTAAATATTTCTTTTGTGGTTCTTACTTTGTTTTTCTGCTTAGAAATGTTTTTCTTTCCTTAGGTTTATAGAAACGGTCACCTATATTTTCTTCTAGTGTTTTTGTGGCCTCATGTTTTAAATTTAAATTTTTAATACATTTGGAGTTGATTTTGGGTATGGTGTCATGTGCAAATCTTTATAGGTATTATCCAGAAAGATAGCTATCCTACCTCCATTTATTGAATAATCCACTTCTTCCTACTGACTTGAAATGCCAATAATGGTATATTTACTAAGTACTTTTATATGTTGGTTCAGTTTCTGAGGAAAACCACACTTTAATGTTGGGTTTGAGAAGCTACTTCTGAAATAGAGTATTTGAACATTAATTTTATATATCACAGTCATTTTAGATAATAAATTTACCAGAGAAAATTGTGCTTTATATATTTTATTTTCACATGCTGTTGAAATTCTTTTGGTTGTTTTAGATTGTAATTAAGCCAAGCTCCTTGAGCAGGATGAAGACTATCTTCACACAGGAAATTTTTACTGAGCAGGTACTTCTTTTAACTTTATTCGTAGGTACTTTAACTTTCTTTTACAACATTCTTTGGGGAAAAACTTGTATGTTTCAGTTTAGGAGCATTATATAGTTTTTTTAATTCCTTTTTAGTTTCCAGTGATGATTTATTTAATCTTAGAAACTTCTGTGAAGAATAATCCTATTTAAAATTTACTTTTAAAGCTATTTACTACATACAAAAGCATGTAATAAATAAATTTACATATTTTGGAGACTTTGAATAGATACTTAAGAATATAGTCTTAGATATTGATGGTAGCAGTCTCACATAGGGTAATCAACTGGTATTGTCAGGAGAAAAATAACATAGAAACCTATTTAAACCTTTTCAGCTGTGAGGTGCATGTCTAACTAGATGATAAGCTAGAGTCTAAATTTCTTATTCTAGTATTTACCTGTTCTTATTTAGTTTTAGCACTTTTGTCCATGGGTAATCCTAATGATATTTTATTTTTCCAGTGATGGAGACTATTCTTTTTTTTTTTCTTTTTTAAAAATTGAATTATAGGTGATTTACAATATTGTGTTAGTTTTAGATATATAGCAAAATGATATGGTTATACATATATATGTGTATATATCTATATTCTTTTTTTATTCTTTTCCATTATAGTTCATTACAATATATTGAATATAGTTTTCTGTGCTATACAGTAAATCCTTATTGTTTATCTGTTTTATATATGATACTGTGTATCTGTTAATCCTATACTCTCAATTTATCCCTCCCCATCCTTCCCCTTTGGTAATCATAAGTTTGTTTTCTATGTCTATGAGTCTGTTTCTATTTTGTAAATAAGTTCATTTGTACTGTTTTTCAGATTCCACATATAAGTGGTATCATACAATATTTTTCTTTCTCTAACTTACTTCACTTAGTTTGATAATCTCTAGGTCATTCCATGTTGATAAAAATGGCATTTCTTCATTCTTTTTTATGGCAGAGTAATATTCCATCACACACACACACATACACACACACACACACACACACACCCCATTCATCTGTTAATGGACACTTAGGTCACTTCCATGTCTTGGCTATTGTAAATAGTGTTGCCATGAACATTGGGGTGCGTGTATCTTTTTGAATTAGGGTTTTTGTCTTTGACAGAGACTATGCTAAAATTTAAAATTAATTCCTGGGACTTCCTTGGTGGCGTGGTGGTTAAGAATCCGCCTGCCAATGCAGGGGACACAGGTTCGATCCCTGGTGCAGGAAGATCCCACGTGCTGCAGAGCAACTAAGCCCATGCACCACAGCTTCTGAGCCTGTGCTCGGGAGCCTGCAAGCCACAACTACTGAAGCCTGCGTGCCTAGAGCCCCTGCTCTGCAATTACAGAAGCCACTGCAGTGAGAAGCCCATGCACCGCAACGAAGACCCAATGCAGCCAAAAATAAATAAATTAATTAAGAAAATAAATAAAATTAGTTCCCAGGTTCATTTATCGATTTAAATCTCATAATACAAAAATATGTATATCTTAAATAATGAAATATTTGAAAATACTCATAGATCTGTAATTCTTGCTTCTTTTTTTTTTTTTTTGGCGGTACGTGGGCCTCTCACTGTTGTGGCCTCTCCTGTTGCAGAGCACAGGCTCCGGACGTGCAGGCTCAGCGGCCATGGCTCACGGGCCCAGCCACTCCGTGGCATGTGGGATCTTCCCTGACCGGGGCACGTGGACTCTCAACCACTGTGCCACCAGGGAAGCCCAATTCTTGCTTCTTTTAGTTTAATTAATGTTCTCGGGAATTCCCTGGCAGTCCACTGGTTAGGTCTCTGCCTTTTCACTGCCAAGGGCGTGGGTTCAATCCCTGGTCAGGGAACTAAGATCATGCAAGCTGTGTGGTGCAGCCAAAAAAAAAAAATTCTCATTCCTTTACCAAACTCTGCCTTCTCCCATCAATGCACATACACTCCCACATAACAGTCACACATAGGATGTAGGAGACTCATAAGTTATTTTTCATGTGTTTAGTTTGAACTAACTGGAAGACACCTTTGGGGAGGGTCTCTGAAAGACAATTAGTGGTCTGTGCATGACACAGTGAGAATAACAATAAAAATTCCTGTTTATATTTATGTGATACTTTATAAGTCACATATATTTTTCCAAAGAAATTTATTTCCCTCTCGCAAAAACCTTTTGAAGCAAGTAAGACAATATTGTCTCGTTTTGTAGATGTGAAAATAGACTCAGAAGATAAAATGACTTAGCTAAAGTCATTGAGCCCAGATTTTATGATTCCAAATTTTATATATTTTTTAACCTTACACTAACCCCCATCAACATATCTGTGTTCAGAAGCAACTTTTAAAATGTAGAGAACTTTACAAATACCTAAATATTTGTATGATGCTACCTCATCACTCAAAAATAATTAAATCACGTAATAATTGGTTTTTATCATTCCTTCCTGAGGACCACATTTGTATTAAGTTTTGACAGTCTACCTGGCTAATCCTCCCTCTTTCAGAATAATTTTATATTTGGTTCTGTCATATGTATTAATACTATTTTTCCCTTTTAGGTTGTCACAGCTCATGCAGTTCGTGTCCCTGTCACCAGCAACCTGAGTGCCAACATTACTGGATTTTTGCCTATTCATTGTATTTACCAGCTTCTGAGGAGTCGTTCCTTTACAAAGCACAAAGTATCAATAAAAGTATGACCTTACATTTATATTTCAAGCTACAACCTAAGTTAGTGCTTTCTTCCCAGTTCCGTTTCAGTTTGTAGACCTTTGCTGTGGGTTTCGTGTGTGAAGTGTGTCTAGTTACTAGTCGTTTATATAGTTATAGTAATTAGGCTCTCAATTTCAGATTTTTTTTAAAAATTTTTTTTGGCGGTACGTGGGCCTCTCACTGTTGTGGCCTCTCCCATTGCGGAGCACAGGCTCCAGACGCGCAGGCTTAGCGGCCATGGCTCACGGGCCCAGCCGCTCCGTGGCATGTGGGATCCTCCCGGACTGGGGCACGAACCCGTGTCCCCTGCATCGGCAGGTGGACTCTCAACCACTGCGCCACCAGGGAAGCCCAATTTCAGATTTTTAAAACAGTATAACTGTTCAGTTATTTACAAAATGTACACTAGTACCTTTTAAATTCTCAGTAATATCGTTTAGCTATTTCATTAAACCTTAGTAAAAATTGCCGTTTTCTGTACTTGGTTTTGTTCACCAAACTGAGAAAGTTGCTGGTTAGCCATGACCAGTATTTGTACATTTGTCATAAGGATATCTAACATCTAACTTGAACATATTTTTGATATGTTTTCAATTTGTTATGTAGTTGGCTATACCAAACGGTTAAAAGGTCCTCTAAAGAAAAGGCTGAACCCCAGGAGGTAAAAGAACTCTGTTTGGACCATTTCTAAGAGGCAATTTTATTTATAAAGAACCATGAACAATATATACATTGATATATCACATTTAATTATCCTTGTTATCATGATTTAGTGAAGTTATTTTCCATCTTGATTGTATCGTCTGCTTCTTTATATTTTTAGCAATATAATAGATAAGAATTAAGAGTCCAAATGCACACCCAGCGTATCTTCTTGGCCTCTATTTGTGTAGATAGTTAATCTCCCATAAGTGGTTGTCAGAGTCACTTTCTTAATCTGTCTGAGGGTTTGTTGTGAAGAGCTGTCCCTCTCGCTAAATTTCTTTCTGTTGTGGGGTCTTCTACAACAACACATATGGTGCTCTAAATACTGATATAGAAGGGACTTAACAGTGTTTTTCCCACTACTTGAAAACTAATAGATTAAAAACCCGAAGTCCAAACTCAAAACTCATCATTTTAGATTTATCTTCCACTTCACGGTATTCTCAACTTTAGGGTATAAAAGTATTTCCTATTTTTAAATCAAAGACAACTGTGAAACTGGATAATTAATAATTGCTAAAAGTTAATAGTTTCACTGATTCATAAATAATGTAAAATTATATGTGCTTTTAAAATTTTGCTTGCCTTTTCTTATTGCCATAATTGATTTGGTGCCTGCAACCTTCTTTTTTAGGACTGGATTTATAGACAGCTCTGTGAAACCTCCACTCCACTCCATCCTCAACTACTTCCTCTGATTGACGTGTACATAAATTCTATACTTACTCCTGCATCTAAATCTAATCCAGAAGCCACAAATCAGCCAGTCACAGAACAGGAGATACTCAATATTTTCCAAGGAGTCATTGGGGTAAAATAGTGGCTTTTCTACATTTATTAGCTTATTTTTCTTTTATTCTTTGGACTGACTCCATGTTTTTTCCCTGATTATTAGAGGAGAACAACTTCTAGGTGGTTCTGAATTTAAGATGGTATTCAGTTTTTTTAGATTACTTAGAAATATTAAAAGAATGGTATTAGTTCCAAGTAGTTTGTTGAATAGGCACTTTTTGAGGAATTCTTTCAAGAGCTCCATTTTCCTTTTGTTTTTTTTTGGCCGTGCTGTGCCCCTTGCATTGGGAGTATGGAGTCTTAACAACTGGACCTCCAGGGAAGTCCCAGGAGCTCCATTTTAAAGCTTAAGGAGTGCTGTGGAAGTTGTGTGTTTACCAACGGACTACATGACATTTCCACACATTCAACCAGCTTTATTTAGTTTCCTGGAGATCTGAGATCTACCTAGACTATTAATGGAAAACTTGAAGAAAATCTTTTTTCTCCAAATATACTTAACTGTCCAATATCATTTTTAGGAATTATTTTCTTTGTGGTAATTTCAGATAATACTTGAGACTCCTGTAAAGCTTTCTGAGAAGCAGCCTGATGGGGCTGCTGTTGCCTTTTTTTCCCTATCTTCTTTTTTTTGTGGTACGTGGGCCTCTCACTATTGTGGCCTCTCCTGTTGCGGAGCACAGTCTCTGGACGTGCAGGCGCAGCGGCCATGGCTCATGGGCCCAGCTGCTCCGCGGCATGTGGGATCTTCCCGGACCGGGGCACGAACCTGTGTCCCTTGCATCGGCAGGCGGACTCTCAACCACTGTGCCACCAGGGAAGCCCTATCTTCTTTTTTTTTAAAAAAACAGTAACTTTTTAAAAATTTTATTTATTTTTGGCTGCGTTGGGTCTTTGTTGCTGCACGTGGGCTTTCTCTAGTTGCAGTGAGCGGGGGCTACTCTTCGTTGCGGTGCATGGGCTTCTCATTGCGGTGGCTTCTCTTGTTGCTGAGCACGGGCTCTAGGGCGCGCGGGCTCAGTAGTTGTGACACGTGGGCTCAGTAGTTGTGGTGCACGGGCTTAGTTGCTCCACGGCATGTAGGATCGTCCCGGACCAGGGTTCGAACCCATGTCCCCTGCATTGGCAGGTGGATTCTTAACTACCGCATCACCAGGGAAGCCCCTTCCTATCTTAAAAACTGTTAAGCATGTTGCTTTTCATCTCCCAAGCCATCTCAAATTTAACTTAGACTTCAAGTTGTCTCTTTGAGTTTAATGCGAACACAGCAACACTTCTCCCAACTTGTTCGAGCTTGGGAGCAGCAACACTGAATAATCTATTTTGAATGCTTTTGCTATCAAAAAGCACTCATGAAATTTAACAGTATTTTAAAGTATTTATAATATTACCTCCAGGGTGACAACATCCGCCTTAATCAGCGTTTCAGTATCACAGCACAGCTTTTGGTGCTTTATTATACACTGTCTTACGAAGAAGCTCTCCTAGCAAACACAAAGACTTTAGGTAAGTTGTGCATAGGCGAATGTTTCTAGTGATAGTTCATCTTATTTGCTTATATTTTGTTACTCTCTAGGCTGCTGTATGAGAAAATAAGGTCAAATATTTTAACAAGCTCCAGCATCATTCTACAGTCTTTGCAATGGAGGCATTGTGTACTCTGATGCATAAATACATGTATGTGTGGGCATATAACCACCTCTTAAGGCTCAGTGCTGCTTTTAGCAGGCTGAATTAATGGATAACTGAATTGTTTGTATTTTAACAATTTTAGTGACCTTACTAACTAAATGTAAATTAAGAGATAAACCTAAAGGAACTGCAACTGAAATATTTTTACTTGATTTCAATCTGTGCCCTATTCTTCCTTCCATTAGTGTGAAGAGTAACAGTCTAATCAAAGCAGTAGAAAAAACTAGTAGTAGGTTTTCCTTTGCCATTGAAATTATCACTGAACTAGGCTTTCAGACTTAGCTATTTCATATAATATCAGAAGGTTAGATTTAGCATAAATGATATCAGTATAAAGTAGTACGTTTTCCTCTATTTGAAAAAGAATATTCACCTGTATTTTAGGCTTGTTAAATATATTTAGTTCCATATTTGAAACACAAAGAGTGTCATTAAAAAGTCGTAGGCATATAATGCAGGGAGAATTCTTTTAAGGGAGGTAATTTGTCATAGCTGAGTGGTTTTCCTTTTTGAAAGTTATAAATTAAAGTTACTCTTCAGTGTGTGGCAGACCAGTTTCTTTTATTTTTCTGAAGTATTGTGTTTTAAGTATTCTGTGCATTTCTCAGCTGCTTTCTTTTCTGACTACAGGTGTCAGGGTTGTACAGATGATATACCACAACTGTAATTATAGTCTTTGTCATATCGGGGACAAGATGGGCTAATAATAAGCATTAGGGGGCTCCCACTTTTATCCACATGTAATGAATTCTGTTAAGGAATATGACACTTGTGATTTAATGGATAGTAGGGGAATGAGTTACGAGGAGGTATTCTGGGGAGAACTCAGACCATTAATACTGTAGCAGGGGACTAAGATACACCCTTAGTTTTTGTTTAAATTAATGTCTAGCAAAAAAAATCTTAATACAGAAAAGTACAGAGACTAGTGTAGCCAACTTTTGTGTATATACCATGCAGAATTAACAGGTCACTCAGAATTTTTTGGACTGGAAGGACCTTTAAAGATTATGTATCCCAGTCCCCAATGACATGCTCAGTTCAACCCTGGTTCGTGTGAAGCTGCTGTTCTTTATGCAATAGTCTGATGGATCTTAATTGGAAAGTTAAGGATTTTAGGTTAGGAGTACAACCCAGCCTGGATTGAGTCTTGGAAAAGGAACTGGGAGATTAGAGGAAAGTTGTTAGGTTTTTCTAAGATTCTAGGCAAGAGATGGTGGTGGTCTGGACTGGTAGCAGTGTATATGTATTTTTTTCTTTTTTGGCTGCGCTGGGTCTTCATTACTGCGCGCAGGCTTTTCTCTAGTTGTGGCGAGAGGGGACTACTCTTCGTTGTGGTGCACTGGCTTCTCATTGCGGTGGCTTCTCTTGTTGTGGAGCATGGGCTCTAGGCACGCGGGGTTCAGTAGTTGTGGCATGTGGGCTCAGTAGTTGTGGTTCGTGGGCTCTAGATCGCAGGCTCAGTAATGGTGCAGGGGCTTAGTTGCTCTGTGGCATGTGGGATCTTCCTGGACCAGGGATCGAACCGTGTCCCCTGCATTGGCAGGCAGATTCTTAACCATTGCACCACCAGGGAAGTCCCTGTATATGTATTTTGAGGGTAGAGCTGAGAGGTTTTGCTGATGGATTCATGAGGTTTGAGAGACAGGAGCCAAGGTTGATGTGGAGGCTTTTGGCCTAACCTATAAAATGGCTATGGACTGAAATAAATGAGCAGGTATGTGGGGGATCAGGAGCTCGTTTTGGATGTATGGAGTTTGAGATGTCTGATAGACTTTCAAGTGGGGATGTTATGGAAACAGTTGTAAATACTGGCCTAGAATTTAGGGGAGATACCAGCACTGAAGCTTTGAGATTCTTCAGCATATATATGGTATTTAAAATCATGACATTAAGTAAGATTACCAAACGGGAAGGTGTAGGAGGAGACTCAGGAGGATGTGTTGTCCTGGATGCCAAGGAAAGAATGTTTCAAAGAGGAGAGAGAGATCACCTGTGTAAAATGATGTTGATGGATCAAGTAAGGTTAGGACTCAGCTGATGACCGCATATAGCTTGCTGGAGGTCCTTTGACCTTTACAGTTTTATTAGTAAAGTGAACACTTGTTTTTAGGATGAAAGCCTGATTGTAGTGGATTCAAAAGAAAATTAGAGGAGATATACTGGAGAGAGTGCGTACAGACAGTTCTTTTGAGGAACTGTAAAGAGAAGGAGAGAAATGAATGTGATAATTGGAGAGGAAAATGAGGTCAGGAGAGGACTTTTTTTTTTTTCTTTTTAAGGTGAAAGAGCTAAGAGAATGTTTGTATTCTGTTGGGAGTAATCTAGTAGAGAGGGAAGGCTGATGAGAGAATTCCTGGAGGGATGTCCTTGATAAGTGAGAGGAGATGGGATGTAGAAGACAGATGGAGGGATCAACCTTTCCTTGGAGAATTTTTTCCCATAGTTCAGGAGATTTTTTTCTAGTCTAGTTTCTTATCTCCACAGGGAATAAATAATTGGAGAATATGTCACAACATGAGAGAATTTTGCTTTTCCACAGCCAAAAAAGATAAGTATTCTTCCTCAAATTTATTCCTACCTGTGAAGTTGTGTTGTAGTTTCAGTAGCTTGTTAACTGGTCTGTGGTTTTGGCCTTTATATTAAACATTATTAGCAGCCACCAGGTAGCTGTAGAAGCTCAAATATGGAATTCTGACACTTGAGATAGAGCCAAGTATTAGAATATCATAGTCATTAAAAAATGGGTTTGTATATGTACATATTTTTTCACATATGCATATTTTTGATTTGTTTTAAAATATTTATAATCCATGTGTATATATTAATTTTAGTTAAATAGTGTATTGATCCAAAAGAATATGTGTAAGAAATAATAATACAATAAATCCCTGTGTACTAATACCCAATTAAAATATGAGCATTACCATTATATTTCCAGTTTTTATACTTAAAAGTGTTTCCTATTTATTATATCTGAAGACTTTATTACTAGGTAAAAGTTTGTTTTTACATGCTTTTGAAGTAAAAACAATACTAATGAATATTGAACATATGAGAAACTGTTTATCTGCTCTTAAAGCAGCCAGTGGGATCCTAAACACAGTCTCACTCCTAAGTAGCTAAAAGTATTACTTGCTTAACTCTCTCCCTCAAGCTTAACTTCATTTAAAAACAGGGTCTGGCTGCCTTTTCTGCTTCTGTCCCGTTTCGTGTGAAGTTTCCTCCTTTGTCAGCAGCAGAACAAGACACATACTGTGGTATTTGGGAAACTGTAATGTTTACTGCCTCTGAATTCCTGAACTTGAAGTTTTTCTTTGCACCCGATAGTTAATTATTTTCTTCCTAGAAGAAAGTTAACTCTAACTGCCTCTATCAAAATGCAAAAACCTTTAAGCAAACACTGGCAGATGTTTTTTCTTGGCAGCTTGAAGTTTCAGTGCTGTAAAATCAAGTTTGACCAAAAAAGGTTCTAAGAGTTAAATGATTGTAGTGTAGAGTAACCGTATAAGAATTTTAAACTTATTTACCTGATTGCTTTCATATCTTAATGCAAAAGAACTGGCTTTTAAAATAAAAACATTTATTAAAAGTGTGTTTACTGGAGGAAATTGAGGAAGTGAAAAATGTACAAAGACCAAAGTAAAACCACCCATAATTCTGCTGCCCAGAGGTAATCACCATAGAATTTTGCTAGAAAACCCTTTAGTCTTTGCACATATGATAACTTTCACAAAGTTGGAATCATATGTTTTTAATCTACCCTTTTAATTTTTTACTTATTTATTTATTTTTTTGCGGTACGGGGGCCTCTCACTGTTGTGGCCTCTCCTGTTGCGGAGCACAGGCTCCGGACGCGCAGGCTCAGCGGCCATGGCTCACGGGCCCAGCCGCTCCGCGGCATGTGGGATCTTCCCAGACCGGGGCACGAACCCGTGTCCCCTGCATTGGCAGGCGGACTCTCAACCACTGCGCCACCAGGGAAGCCTCAGATTTGAATCTTTGAAAGCGACACGTTGGAAGAAAATTGGAAGTGTGATTGCTCATGTTGAATATATAAAACCAATGATCTTCCCATAGGCCTTTCATAATTATAGTTTAGTCTTTTACTGGAAGATTAAGTATCCTTGATGTTGTATTTCACAGAGATGTTAAAGAGAAATAATGGCTTTAGGTAGGGCTTCATGGGCTGCTAGTTCTTTGATGGAATTATTAAGATGTGAACAGGATTTTGTCTTCAGTTTCATAGGTCCAGAAACTTAAATGTTGATACTTTACCCTAAGTTGATCTTGGGGACTCTAGATCTTAATAATACTGGCTAACATTTGCGTTCTTGTTATGTGCCAAACACTACTTGAAGCTCTTTACACCTGTTAACTCATGTAAACCCTCACAACAATTCTGTGAGATAGGTACTGTTGTTGTCTTTATATAACGGGTGAGAACACTGAGGCACAGGGAAGTTAAGTGACTTCCCTTAGTTGTAAGGGTTGGAACCAGGATTTGACCATCACTGGAACTTATATATATTTAATATTAATCCGTTTTTATTATTCAAAATAATCTATCTTTACTAGTGTATATTAGCATTTTGCCTAGTTATAATCAATCTATCTATCTTAATACCATTTTATATTCCATTTTTCCTCTTTAATGTTATTTTGTACAAACAGTAATATTATTTTATATCCATCAAGATGGGCCACAGAGTTGTGGTTTCAAATTGGTTTTTAGTATTGAATTTCTTTTTCTTTTCTTTTTTCTCTTTTTTACCTTTTGACGCTCTTCCCCTATTTCTTTTACCCCTCATCCCCTGCTCCTCTGGCAGCCACCAATTATTTCTCTGTATCTTTGAAGGTTTTTTTGTTTTTGTTTTTTTATGATTCCACATATAAAAGAGGTCATATGGTATTTGTCTTTCTCTGTCTGACTTATTTTGCTTAGCATTATGCCCTCCAGTTCCACCCATGTTGTCACAAATGGCAAAGTTTCATTCTTTTTTATGGCTGAATAACGTTCCATTGTATGTATATGTGTGTGTGTGTGTGTGTGTGTGTGTGTGTGTATGTGTATGTATCTCATATTTTCTTTATCCATTCATCCATTGATGGACACTTAGATTGTTTCTATATCTTGGCTATTGTAAATAATGTGGCAGTGAACATGTGGGTATATATAATCTATTCAAGTTAGTGTTTTCATTTTCTTCAGATAAATACCTAGATGGGAAATTGCTGGATCATATGGTAGTTCTATTTTTAATTTTTCGAGTAACCTCATACTGTTTTCTTTCTTTTAATTAATTTATTTTTTATTTATTTGTTTTTGGCTGGGTTGGCTCTTCATTGCTGTGTACGGGCTTTCTCTAGTTACTGCAAGCAGGGGCTACTCTTCGTTGCGGTGTGCGGGCTTCTCATTGTGGTGGCTTCTCTTGTTGTGGAGCACGGGCTGTAGGCGTATGGGCTTTAGTAGTTGTGGCATGCAGGCTCAGTAGTTGCGGCACACGGGCCCTAGAGCGCATGGGCTTCAGTAGTTGTGGCGTGTGGGCTCAGTAGTTGTGGTGTGTGGGCTTTAGGATGCGCGGGCTTCAGTAGTTGTGGCTCATGGACTTAGTTGTGCCACAGCATGTGGGATCTTCCCAGACCAGGAATTGAGCCCATGTCCCCTGCATTGGCAGGTGGATTTTTAACCACTACACCACCAGGGAAGTCCTTCCATACTGTTTTTTATAGTGGCTGCACCAATTTACATTCCTACCAATAGTGCACAAGTGTTTCCTTTTGTCCTTATCTTCATCAACACTTGTTTATTGTCTTTTTGATAATACTCCTTCCAACAGGTATGAGGTGATAGCTTATTGTGGTTTTGATTTCCATTTCCCCGATGATTAGTGACGTTGAGCATCTTTTCATGTACCTGTTGTACCTCTGTATGTCTTCTTTGGGAAAATGTCTATTCAGATCTTCTGCCCATTTATTAAAAATTTATTTATTTTTAATTTATTATTTATTTTTGGCTGCATTGTGTCTTCATTGCTGTGTGTGGGCTTTCTCTAGTTGCAGTGAGCGGGGGCTACTCTTCTTTGCAGTGCATGTGCTTCTCATTGTGGTGGCTTCTCTTGTTGCAGAGCATGGGCTCTAGGCGTGCAGGCTTCAGTAGTTGTGGCAGGCAGGCTCAGTAGTTGTGGCTTGCGGGCACTAGAGCGCAGGCTCAGTAGTTGTGGCGCATGGGGTTTGTTGCTCCGCAGCATGTGGGATCTTCCCAGACCAGGGATCAAACTGTGTCCCCTGCATTGGCAGGCGGATTCTTAACCACTGTGCCACCAGGGAAGTCCCCTTTTGCCCATTTTTAAATTGGATTGTTTGATTTTTTGCTCTTGAGTTATTAAATATATTTTGCATATTAGCCCCATATCAGATATATGATTTGCAAATATTTTCTCCCGTTTAGTAGGTTGCCTTTTCATTTTATTGATGGTTTCCTCTGCTGTTCTGAAGCTTTATAGTTTGCAGTAGTCCCACTTGTTTATTTTGCTTTTGTTGGTTTTGCTTTTGGTGTCAGATTCAAAAAAATCAGCCAAGACCTGTGTCCGGGAGCTTAGCACCTGTGTTTTCTTCTGAGAGTTATATGGTTTCCGGTCTTAGGTTCAAGTCTTTAATCCATTTTGAGTTCATTTTTGTGTGTGGTGTAAGATAGTGGTCTAGTTTCATCTTTTTTCATGTATTTTTATCTTCAGTTTCTTTCATTAATGTCTTGTAGTTTTCAATATATAGGTCTTTCACCTCCTTGATTACATTTATTCATAGGTGTTTTATTCTTTTTGATGCAGTTGTAAATGGGGTTGATTTCTTTTTTTTTTTTTTAACATCTGTATTGGAGTATAATTGCTTTACAGTGGTGTGTTAGTTTCTGCTCTATAACAAAGTGAATCAGCTATACGTATACATATATCCCCAAATGGGGTTGATTTCTTAATTTCTCTTTCTGATTGTTTGTTATTGGTGTATTAGAAACACAACAGATTTTTGTGTATTGATTTTATATCTTGCAACTTTACTGAATTTGTTTATTAATTTTAACAGGTTTTTTCTTTCTTTTTTTTTTATTCTTGTTACCTTTATGGAACTTTGACATCCAGAAAAGCCTCCTCAGCCACTCATTTACCAACCAACTCTACTTTACTCTTTAGGAAATTATTTGGTTCTGGCACAAAGCCATGTACCCTAAGGTGCTCCTTAAATGCTAGCTCCCTCATCTTACTGTAGAGGTCCCACGTATTCACCTCAGCGTTTGCATGAGAGTCACTTAAGTGGGCCGAAATACTTGTTGCTTTTACCACCTTTTTTTTTTTTTTTTTTTTAGTTCTAACAGTTTTTTGATAGAGTCTGTAAGGTTTTCTGTATAATACCATATCTGCAAATGGTGACAGTTTTACTTCTTCCTTTTCAATCTGGATGGTGTTGGGACCAGAATTTGACTGTCACTGGAAGCTATGTTTTATTTATTTATTTTTATTTTTAATTTTTTTGCAGTACGCGGGCCTCTCACTGCTGTGGCCTCTCCCGTTGCGGAGGCTCCGGACGTGCAGGCTCAGCGGCCATGGCCCACGGGCCCAGCCGCTCCGCGGCATGTGGGATCCTCCCAGACCCGGGCACAAACCCGTGTCCCCTGCATTGGCAGGCGGACTCTCAACCACTGTGCCACCAGGGAAGCCCTATGTTTTTTTTCAACTGTGCTTTGAGATACATTCTTACTCAGTTCATAAAAGATTTGTGTGGAAAACTGGGATGCTAATTTATTAATTTACAAGGGGGATTATATCTAACCTAGAGGTATATGGTCTGTTTAGGCAATGATTCTCAACCTTTATTCTAACACTTGCACTCATATGCTTCTTATCTTCAATAAAAATTTGTTGAGCTTTACACTGTGTGGTTTGTATTTGGAAAAGAAAAAGTATATTGGAAATGCTTTTTCAAACTATGGACAGTCTGGTTGAGATGCTCATATAGTTTTCAAACTATGGACAATCTGGTTGAGATGCTCATATAGTTTTGTTGTGTACAAGCAAAGTGCCTTGGAATGAGATGAGGGTGTCAGGCATATAGCATATGGTGGAGATAAGACAAAGAAAGATAGCATTGATTTGCAAGGACCTTTACTCTGTGGGATCTGGGAATCCATGGAAGGTTTCTGAGCATGGAGCCAGAGACATGTGATCTGGCCAAATCTCAATTTAAATAAGAGGACTAGGGCAGCAGTGTGAAGGATGGATCAAAGACCAGAGAAATTGGAGTCTGGGAAATTGAGCCGTAATAGTTATTTAAATAAATGATGAGTAGGCACTGACTTAGGATAGCAGAAAAAGAACAGAAATTAAGATGGATTTGTTTAAAAAAAAAAAAAAGCATGTACTTGTTAGTTGAAGGTAGAAGTTGTGAGAGAAGGAAGTCATTCATATTTCCCAATTTTCATCAAAACGAGTCACCACTAATACATAATATGATTAATTTAAGGCTGTTGGCATCATGAAGCTTTAAGCCATGCTGGCATGACTGCATTTGGTCTTCCTAACTACATTTGGGAGAGTCTTGACTGACTTCTCAGGTTTCGGTGTTTTTTTTGTTGTTGTTTTCTAGTGCAGGGCACTTCTGCAGGTGGCTTCTCTCACTCATGATTTTTCTTCCCCCTAGTTTCAGTTTCGGGGCATTTTCCGAGATATTGCCCTTAAGTATGTTCTTGCTTGTCCTGTGTATTCATTATTGTGGTAGTGATTCTTCATGTTTTATGAACTATATTCACAGATTAAGTGAATTAAAAGTAATTTGACATTGTGTTTGTTCCCATTTGTGTTGAAGGTTAAAATTTCTACTGTTACTGACACTGTATCTTAACATTTTTTAATCTTTGACTGACAGCTGCCATGCAAAGAAAGCCCAAATCATATTCGTCTTCTTTAATGGATCAGATTCCCATCAAATTTCTTATTCGACAGGCTCAAGGACTGCAGCAGGAGTTGGGAGGTATTTGTTTTATTTGCTTTTTACTGCTAACGTTTATTGTTTAAAAGTACCTACCGTTTATGATGTTATAAAGTGTAATAGGTGCTCAATGTTTAAAGCCCAATTCAAGAGTGAAATTCCTCTTTACCTCCCTTGCTGTCTTACTCCCTGCAAACCGCTCCTCACCCCCAAGGCCCTAGTTTCATTTTGGTGTGTAATTTCAGATATTCCTTTCTATAGGGTGAATCATATGAAATTACAGGTATTCAACTATTTTTGACCTCCAAAAATGCAGTTTCATATGGTTGAAGCTAATAGATACACAAGTAAAAAATTATTTTTTTAAGCTTTAAATGGTATTATACCCATCTCTTCTGAGATTTGCTTTTTTCTCTTTGAGTCTTGGAAATCTTATCATGTCACTTCATCTAGATCTACCTTATTGTTTTTAATTGCTCCATAACATTCCTTAGTGTGGAATTACTATAATATGTTTACTGTAAAACTGTCAAATAGAAATATAGTACTATTTTTTGAAATTCAAATTTTTTCTTAAATTAACACCTTTTTATAATGTTTGAATGTGTGGGTTGTGTTTTTTTCTTTTTGGTTTGTTTTTTTGAAGTTGGGGATTTTCTTTGTCTGTCTTTGTTACGGTTGGTTTCCAGGATGAACGGGAGCTTGCTTTCGTCATCTTTAGCCAGATGTCTGCATTTATTTTTTATATCTTTGCATTATCTCTTTCTAGAGAAATGATGTTATATTTGGCAGCTTTTGGCAACTAACATGTTTTACTGAAGAGATTACGAAGTGTAGATTAATTTGCACTATTGTAAGCAGTCATTTTTGTGACTGGGAAAGTCTTGACTACACATGTACTTGTGCATTAAATTTAATACCACTTTTGATTGTTATAGTGCCTTTTCAAACAGAAGCATTTATTTTAAGCAGTTTCTATGAGAAAGGAAACAGATACTTAACCCTCTTGGGACTAAGCAGTGGTTTGATTTGATCTAAGTTGCATAATAAGGGGGTGATTGGATCTAACGTACTTTTATTACTACTGATACTCTTACTGCTAACTCTTGCAACTTTGGAGATGATGATAATTGTTTAGTAGCAGCAGCATTTATTAGGTAAATAACATAGTGACGCTTCATATGTCTAAATAGGCATTTTTACAGTATCATCATTTATTTTTCTCATTATTAATATTACACAATAATAATAATGAGTAGTCTAACTGCTGTAAGCAAAAGATTAGAAACAAGACTTAGATTTAGTCAAAGGAAGGTTTCCCGATCCTTTTGAGCTTCCTTAACCCTTCTTAAAAGAAGACAAATGCACCCTCTTGTGGGTATCGTCAGTACTGCTTGGGTTGGGTGACAGCTGTGTGACTTTGGGAACATTAATAAATATCTTTCAGCCTGTTTCTTCATAGTAGAATGGAGACAATATTGCTTACCTTGTAGGAATGTCAGGGTGAAATGAGGAAATGCACATAAAGTGTAAATTTAGGTACTCAAGTTGGGCAACTTTAATTTTACTCATCTGTAGCAATGATTCTCAACTGGGTTGGAGGAGAGGACATGTTCTCCTATAGAAACCTATCAGAATTTCTTCTTTTAAAATCTTTTAAAATTTTTATTTATTTATGTTTTGGCTGTGCCGCTCAGCATGCGGGAGCCTAGTTCCCCAACCAGGGATCAAACCCGTGCCCCCTGCAGTGGAAGTGCGGCATCCTAACTACTGGACCGCCAGGGAATTACCAAGCCTATCAGAATTTCTGAGTGAGGCCTTTTTCAAACCATATATGATCTCCCTGAAATGAACATTCTTTTCCCTTCTCTTTTTCTCCTCCCCACTCAACTCTTGAACTACTGCTATGTCAAACTAATTTTCCTGATGGGAGACTTTTATGCTGGGATAGGGTGGAAGAAAGCTTGAGAACTTTTGACAAAAGTAGTGGCTTCCAGCTTCCTGTGTATCAATTCACTTGGCGATCTTTAAGCAGATTCCCTGGCTGAACTATTGAACAGAAGTTCTTAAGCTGTAGTATGCATGCATAAGAAGGGCAGATGCCTTTGGCTTGCTGTACATGAACGGGAGAAGAGAGAGGGGAAAGAAGAGAGAGAAGATTTTGATGTTTAAGAATAAAGAATCCAATTGACTTCTTTTAAATTTTCAAGGGTTGCATTCTGCTTTACTTCGTCTCCTTGCAACTAACTACCCACATTTATGCATTGTGGATGATTGGATCTGTGAAGAAGAAATCACAGGGACTGATGCCCTGTTAAGAAGAATGCTCCTGACTAGTAATGCCAAAAACCACTCTCCTAAACAACTTCAAGAAGGTATAATGAATTGGTATGCCTTTTACCCCTTTAGTAGTACACAGAGGTGTTAGGCCTGTGGAAATCTTAAAATCATGCAGAATTTTCCTGGAGATACAACAGGGTTTTGGTGAATATATTTAAAGTAATTCTCTTTGAGTTAAAGGATTTTTTACCATTTTTTTCTGACATGCTTGCATCTGTTTCCTCATAGGTTCTACGTTATATCACTAAACAGGTCATGTGGTTTTAGGAAAGTCCTAAAACTGGTCAGAAATAAGTACTGTGGAATAGAACAATGTATCTGCTGTTAATGGATAATAAGCTAGATCAGCACTTTAAAATAGAAATATGATGTGAGCCACACATACAATTTTAAACTTTCTATATATTGCCACATTAAAAAAGTTAAAAAAAGGCAAATTTAAATAACTATTTTGTATAACCCAGTATATCTAATATATTATGATTTCATCACATAATCAGTATAAAAAGACTGTTAGATATTTTATTATTTTTTCATACTGAGTCCATGGATTTTATACTTACAGCACATCTCATTTTGGACTAGCTGCATTTCAAGTGCTCAGTAGCCAGAAGTGGTTAGTGACTATTCTATTGAAGGAGGACGGTTCTAGCTATTTTTTACTAACAGTTGCTTACAGCCCATAAAGGGCTACCCGAAGGAAGGTGTCAAGAAGTTTGAATTTTTCAAATGAATGTTAATACCAAGAGCAATAGTTCGGTATATTTTCATGTTCCAGTCAATTTTTTAAATCAGTGTGAATTGTTGTCTTTGGGTCACTCTCACTAATGTGATTTTTAAAATGAGGTATTTTTTGTTCTTTACGAAATAACTGCACCTTAACATGAATTTTTCTTAAGGGCCTAATTTTAAGTATACCCACAACTATGATTAGAATGGAAAGTTTTACTTTTTTTAAAGCAATACTGCTTTCTTGATTTCTTTCGCCTATAGTTTGATAGAGCAATATTACTTCCTATTTGGTAAGCTGTATAGTATTTAGATTATGACTATAAAGTTTTCCTTTTAGCATTTTCAGCTGTCCCAGTAAGTCACACACAAGTGATGCAGATTCTAGAACACTTGACTCTACTCTCTGCCAGTGAACTTATACCATATGCAGAAGTATTAACATCCAATATGAATCAGCTGTTGAATTCAGGGGTTCCGAGGCGAATTCTTCAAACGGTCAATAAACTATGGATGGTTCTTAATACTGTGATGCCTAGAAGGTAATTTCAGTGTATTGTTACATGTAATAGATAAGTGTATAGCAGTGATTGTATACAATAACTTAAACTTAAATGTTGAAAAAAATTGTTAAAAAAAACTTTTTGACAATATAAATCCTTTCTGAAGACCACTAATTAAAAGAGTTGTTATAACTTTAAGGAAAAGAATAAACTCTATCTTAAGAAACAGAGAGAAACCTTGAAGTATTTCCAACTTGGGAAAGTTCTTTAAAAGGGAGTTCTCATGTAGAGTCATTTGTGGCTAATTGTGATTTAGATTACCATTGTGTCTTGCATCATTGCAGTGGCTCCAAATTTTGCTGTACATTAAAATCACCTGGAGAGCTTTTAAAACTCCTGATCCCCAAGTTGTAACCCATGCCAATTAAATCACAGTGGAACGCTGGATTTGTCTTTAGTCAAATGGGTCTCTGCTGTTCCATAGATTGCATCAAAAACACTTGGTCTGCTCTAGAAACAATACTGGGCTGGACTTACCTGAGATTCTGATTCAGTAGGTCTGAGAATATTTATACTTTTTAAGTTTGATTTTTACTTATATCAAATTAATAAATGCACGTAAGTTAAATAGTGTATAAGGTCAGCCCCCACCTTCCCATTTTAGACTATTGATCCTCAGAGACAATTATTCTTAGCTCCTTTATCTTTTAATTCTGGCATTTATGTCCCACCATGTATCTCAATCATATGCTTATAATTACTATGATTTCCTGACTTTCCAATTTAGAAATTATCTTTTGACTTCCTACAAAATCCTTCATACAAGATGAAGATTTAGCACTCTTACTTGCTTCCCCTGTGAGTCCCTCTTCTTCCATATATTCTCCCTTCCTCCATTTCTCCCAACAGTTATATCAGAATTTTTGGTTAAAGAAATATTCAGTGTGCATATTATTATGACTACATAAGTGTTATTTATGTTGATATATATGATATCCTTTGATTACAATTTCTTTCTTAAACAACTGCCCTCCTTCATACCCCACATACACACCCTGAGTTGTTTGCCTCTTTAACATTTGTTCAGGTTTTTTGTTTTCTTTGTATCAATAACCAATTCACTCTCAAACTCTATTATTGAGTGGAAATTTACATTAATTGTTAACACATCAGGTAACATATTAGTAACATTTTTCCTTGGAAACCTTCCTTTCAGATCTTTCCACCCTTATGTTGCAATCTGGGACATTCACAGTAGCCATCTGGAATTGCTTTGTCTCTTGGTTTGAGTCCATGTTTTTGTCTTTCTTGATTTAGTTCCTTATTTAAGTGAGTGGAACTAACGCTCAAGTTGCTTCCTGGGAAAGATGTTTGGGAAATATTTTTTTTTTTGAGGCTTTCATATGTGAAAAGGTTTTTATTCTTCCCCTCACGTGATTGATATTAGGCTAGGTGTAGAATTCTAGCTTACTTTTCCTCTTAGCAATTTGAAAGCTTTATTCTATTGAAGTAATTAGAGCTTTCCTGATTACTTTTGAGTAATCTAATCTTATACCAATTCCCAATCCTTTGTATGTGACCATTGTTTTTTCTCTTAAAGGTTTTAGGTTCTTTTTCATTGTTTCTGAAATTTCATGATGATACATTTTGGTTTGGGTCTTTTTTAATTCATGGTGCTGGGCACTTGGTTGGCCTTTTTTTTTGTCGGGGGACTAATCTGATGTCTTCACTTCTAGGACAGTTTCTTGTATTTTTTTTTTCTTCAGTAATTTCTTTCCCTCTGTTTTCTGGAATTTTTTGCAATTTGGATTTTAAACCTCTTGAACTTACTCTGATTTTCTCCTTCTTTCTCCTCTATTTTTAAATTTCTCTTTTATGTACATTTTCTGGATATTTTGTCTGTTATCTTCTGATCTTTCCTTTGAATTTAAAATATTTCTGTTATAGTCTTAATTTCTAAGAGCTCTTTCTTATCTGAGAATCTATAAATGCCTCCTATTCTTGTTTCATATACGAAATATTTTGTCCTTTAAGGAAATTAATTATAGGTTTAAGAATTTTTTTTTCTTCTCATCTCTATATTGTTTCTTTGGCATTCCTTTCTTTCTGTTTGTATATTTTAATCTTTTTCAAAGTAGAAACTTTCTTTAAATGTCTGATGATTGTTGGCTATCCACTCATTTAAGAGTGGGCAAGCTCTGTGTGTGAGGTGGGGTTGATGGACTCCTGGGCTTCACTGTAAGAGGTCAGATACCCTACATATTGGCATATTCTTCAGTAATTCTGATGTGTAGTCAGGTTAGTAACCACTTTTATAGTCTATTGATGTTTAATCTCAAAGTGGCATCTCATATTTAGATTCTGTGATGATAAATGTAGAACAATAATTTATGGGGCCAGTTACAGTTTCAAAGTGCTTTGGTGGATATCATTTCATTTACAGGTATTATAGTCATATTTTACAGAGGAGGAAACAGTTCAGAGAGGTTCCATGACTTACACAGAGTCATACAGCAAGTGGTATAACTTAGGTTTTAATTCAAATTCTGATTTTATATGCCATGATTATTCCCTTACAACTGTGAAGATTTTTGAAACTACTTTTGTTTATTGTTTTATCTTCATTTGTTTTAGAAACATAATAATAGGTTAGATTTCTATAGTTTTTAATTTTTCCAAGTTCATTTACACCTGTTCTCTAATTTTTTTCCTGACTATATCTTTCTAAGATAAAAGGAACTGGATGGTGGCTACAGGTTTCAATTATGATATAGCTGTTTTTGAACATATGATTATTTTCTCATCAGGCTGTGGGTAATGACAGTTAATGCACTTCAACCATCAGTAAAGTTTGTACGACAGCAAAAGTATACTCAGAATGATCTGATGATAGATCCTCTCATTGTGCTAAGATGTGATCAGAGGGTGTACAGGTATGTGTCATTTGAGTTCATTTTTACTATAGAGTTATGCTTTGGAGAGTCAAAGGAAATTGAAGAAATTCAGTTTAAACTTATATCTTCGTGTTCTTGCATAACTTGGCAGTATGACCTGTGAGGTTTTTGTGTTTTTTTTGGTTGTCTGTATTCATGAACTTCAGTTTAATATGTGATTAATAAACCTAGCCTTAACAAAATGTCATCTTTGGTTTTGGCAGCCCTCAATAGTGTTCTTTCTCTCAGAGTCAAGATAGTGAAAAATGATACCATTTCTCATAGCATTGTTGAAAAAAGCTTTAAAAAAACCGGTTTATTATGAAATCATTACATGCATTAAAATTGTGATCCTTTTGGAATCCTTAATTGTGATGTTAGCTTTATTGATTCCACATTTGTCTATACTTCCTTGCTAATTGCTTAACTTAATCAGTTGCTTTGAAGTAGCTTCACCTCAAGAGGTGGGATTAATTAATTCACATCATTAATATTTGAATTTCTAGTTGCTAAGCTAAATAGTAACAAAGATATACAAGTTGAGGGGTCTGCCTTTAAAGTGATTATCACTTGTATCGGGAAATAAGATAAATACCTGAAAAGTTAAATAATATGGTCATATGCAGATGAATGGTACAGTAAATGAATGGTGTTGAAAGTTTCAGGAGGAAGTGAGACTTTGAGTAGTATTTTGAAGTATAGAAGTAGGGTTTAGATGAACAGATACTGTAATGATGGGGCGTAAGAGGTCAGAGAAGGTATTGTGAGAAAAAGAATAGTGTGAGCAGAGGTGTAAAAGCAAGAGTGAAAAAGCCTTGAGTGGAAGGCTTAGTTTTTGAGAACACACTTTAGAGTTGGAATGTTAGGTTAAGGTCAGGCTATGGAGGGCCTTGAATGTTAGGCTGAAGAGGTCATTTAGGTGGTAACTTACAAAGAGAAGGTTCACACTAGATAGGTCAGAGGGGAAAGAAACTGGAGTAAAGAAGACTAACTAGGATACAGTAATATACTCATCTGCCTTTAACCCTGGGGATGAAATTCTTGAAGTGGCAAAATCTGCAGAATCAGCCAAATATGGTTTGGTGAGATCAAGGTCTCGGAGGGAAGAGGAACCAGAAGAATAAACAGTATAAATGACATTAAGTATCTATTTAATAAAAAGAAAACAACAGTAAATAACATTTCTAGAGAAGAGCCATTTCTAAAACAATTTATCAGTGTTAAAAATCCACTTAAGTAGGTAACCTTTCACCTAAATCACCCGCAGTTGTTCAGGAGGCTGTTAAGTTATGCTATCATAATGTATGAAATGTTTTTGTAGCCTAGATCTTTCACTTAACAACTTGTGAACCTTTTCTCATGTTAATAGATCTTCTTATGTTAATTGGCTACGTAGTATTCCACATAGATATGCTATGCTTAATTCAGTTCCCTATTGTTGGATATTTTATTTCCATTTTTTGTTATTATTGATAGTTTTGTGGTAACTATTGTGTACTGAGTATTTCCTTAGAAATGATTATTAAAAATGGAATTATTTTTTTATTTTTATTTTTTTCTTTTTACGCGGGCCTCTCACTGTTGTGGCCTCTCCCAACCGCGGAGCACAGGCTCCGGACGCGCAGGCCCAGCGGCCATGGCTCACGGGCCCAGCCGCTCCGCGGCACGTGGGATCCTCCCAGACCGGGGCACGAACCCATGCCCCCTGCATCGGCAGGGGGACCCCCAACCACTGCGCCACCAGGGAAGCCCTAAAAATGGAATTATTGAGGCAAAAGGAACATGCTCATTTTTAAGTCCTTTGATTCATGTTTTCATTCTGCCACTCAGAATGGCTGAACCTGTTGACATTCCTATAGTGATGTTTGATATTGTACACTTTCCTATACAGTTTTATATAATTTTTCCAATTTGATAAGTGAAAAATAGATTCCCACTTTAATTTATATTTTTCTTAGATTGAATATTTTAATATACTTATTGGTTATTGGTATTTCTTCTTTACATTTAGCCTAGTTTTCTATTAGAATGCTTACCTTTTTTGATTTAAAGAGCTTTTTACGTATAAAGGATATCAGCTTTTTGTATATAGAGTGCAGTTTTTTCTTTTATTGTTCTATTGTTTTGCCTTTAATTTTGTTCTTTTTTAAAATTTGATTTTTTCTAAGTGATCATTTAGGTGGTTTTTAAAAATGTCAAACAATATGAAAAGATATGACATTTTGGATTTGCTTTGAACTAACCAGTGGTGATGGTGGGAAAGTGGATGGTGGGGTATGGGTGAAATAAGACTAGCGATGTGTCGATAACTGTTGCTGCTGGGTGATGAGTTCTTAGAGGTTCATTATAATATTCCCTTTTTTATGTGTGCATGAAAGTTTTCATTATATACATTAATAAGTGCACAAACAAGAAGATTAACAAGGAAAAGGTGTACAGTGAAAAGTCTTGTTCTCTCGTATCTACCCTGCTGCCATTTTTAAAGCAAAGTTCCTCTTTGAACTATTGACCAATCCCAGTTCCATCTCCAGAGGAAACTTTATTGTCATAATGGTGTGTATGTAGCTTCATTTTCTATGTATTTACAAATTTATAAACAAATATTTACTTTTTTGTTTTGGGTGGTGTTAAAAAACGTAAGTGGTTTTTGGTAGGCTCTATTTTGTTCTTTTTTTAAAAAAACTTACCATTCTGAACATGTTTTCCATATTGGTATGCATAGTTCCATCTCATTGTTTTAACTGCTACATAGTATTCCATCTATACAGGCCTCTACAAACTCTGATCCAGAATGTCTGGTGGAGTTTAGGATTTTTTTTTTTAATACATACTCCAGGTGATTCTTATCTTCATTTTTGGGAATATTGCCATGGTTTATTTAACCATTGACATGTTTCTTTTTTTCCACTATTAATACATGCATGTTTACTGTAGAAAATTTGAACATTTCAGAAAAAGTATTGACATTTCTAGTGTTTCATAGTTAAAACCAAAGCTGTACTGCCTGTTTATGCACACATACTCAGTCTGTGATAGGCTGGGAAGTGGCATTGTCAGGTTTTTCTAAGGGCTTGGCTTTTAATATTTTAGTGGTTACTGATTTATCTGTTTTGGTTTCCTTTTTTACATTTAATTCTTACATCTATTATCTCATTTAAATTTAATTTATAACAATTTTTGAGGAATGAATAACTCTATTCGTTTTTTGTTTTGTTTTGTTTTGTCTTGACTGTGCTATGGGGCATGTGGGATCTTAGTTCCCTGACCAGGGATCGAAACCCATGCCCCCTGCATTGGGAGAGTGGAGTCTTAACCACTGGACCACCAGGGAAGTCCCTAGACTATTTGCCTTTGAGGACAGCTGCCTTGCAGGCTCATATCTAAGAGATTTAATGGTAGTGCCATTTTTTTGTAAAAAGGAATGCCTTTTTTCTAGGGTATATATTACATTTGATTTTAGTTGATAAGATGAAATAGATAATACTATTCATACAGTCTTGAAATACAGAGAATTATATATATATTAAGCTTTCATTTTTGAGAATGAATATTTTGGTGGGAAAAGTGTTAACTTTCTACTTTTTTAATGTTTTCAGGTACTGTTCAGGTTTTTCTAATTATTCAAATTGATTGACCATGTTCTGACTAATTTATAAATTTATATTTTTTCTCACATATTTTTCTTCTTTCTGTGTTTAGATGCCCCCCACTGATGGATATTACTCTACATATGTTGAATGGATATCTTCTGGCATCCAAAGCCTACCTTAGTGCTCATCTGAAGGAAACAGCAGAGCAAGATAGGCTTTCTCAGAATAATACAATAGGTTTAGTTGGACAGACTGATGGCCCAGAAGTTACCAGAGAGGAATTGAAAAATGCATTACTGGCTGCTCAGGTAATAAAGTAAAATTAATCAAAAAGGCCAAGGGCTTTCCTGTTAATATAATCATTTAAATAGATGGCCTTCTACATAAAATGGTGACATATTATACATTCCTTTTATTACAGAAGGTATATTATAATGGTGTTACCTTTGCTTCTGAATTATTAAAATCAGGAATAATCTTCATGGCTTTATTTAATAGCCATTTTAGTGAGATTTATATTTTAACAAAATATAAGACTTTTGTTTCTTAAAATCAAATGGAAAAAAAATCAAATGGTGGAGACAGACAAGAAGTGTGTGTGTGTGTGTGTGTGTATATATATATATATAAAATAAAATGTCAGGCAGTGATAAATACTATAACAACACAAGTAGTTAAAGTTTGTATTTAGAAAAGTTTTATAACAATATAGAATTTACTGCAGCCTTAGGTAGTAATTTTGGACTAATGCAGGACATGCGAGATGATTGAATGTTAAGCAGTTTGAGGTCTTCAAAGTAGAAATGTTTTCTTAGTTTGAAATATATTTTCTGAAATCTTTTCATTGGCAATAAGGGGAATTAGAGTAATAATATAGGTCCACAATCCCTTATCTGTAATACAGAAATCCAAAAAGCTATGAAAACTGAGGCATTTTTTTTGGTAATTCAGTTGGCAGAAAAACCTGACCTGATATGACCTTGTTTGTGTCAAAACTTGACCTGGATTGATGTGAAGCTATTTATGGCCTTTCCCCCACTTAATATGAATGTTGGTATGTTTTGTTGCAGAAATATTAATACATTTGATTACAATGTACTGCCTTAGTCTCTGCTGGAGGTGTTATATAATATTACAGAAAAAAAAAATCTGAGTTCTAAAATAAATCTGACCCTCAGAGTTTCAGATAAGGGCTTGAGGATGGTAATAGCTACCATTTATATAATGCTTATTATATGGTGGATGCTATTCTGAATTTTTTATGTATATTAACTCATTTACTCTTTACAACCAACCTATGAGGTATGGAGTATTATCTCCATTTTTACAGATTAGGAAAACGAGATCCAGAGAGGTTAAGTGACTTGCTCAAGGTTATACATTTAGTAAGTGGGGAAGCTGGGATTCAAGCTGGGGGAGGCTGGCTCCAGAGTCTATAAAAAAACAAACATAAAACAGTAACAACCGAAAACCCGTCAAGAATGATTATAAAGTTTACTTTATAAATGATTATAATGTAAGGCTAACCTTAGTTTATAATTAAGTTATTAAACAGGTAGATGGAGTAATTGTTTTCTTCTATCCCAGGCAGTGGCAGTCTTTCAGAGATGCATATTATGTATTCATTTTCTTTTTCCTTCTTCCTGCTAGATGCAAGTGATTATAGCTCTCCTTTATAGGCAGGGGCATTAAGTAGATCACCCCTCAAGAAACTACTTTTCTATGAAATGGCACTCAAGCTTGTAGACTGAGCAATAATGAGTTGTACAGTTGGAATGGATGGTAAGGCAGAATCTTTCCAGAGCCTTAAAGAGCCTATCTTAAAATTAAAAGGAAAAAGAGCTTTGGGGAGTGACTTTTAGGCATTAATTATTAACCACCATCTTCAGAGGTGAGAAAAAGAGGGGAATACAAGATAGGATCCTGGGAGAAGTAGGAATTTAAGAGGAAGGAAAGGAGATTCCAGTAGAAGTCATTTTTTGCCCTAGGGCCTGTTTTGGATGACACCGAATCGAATACTCTTGTAGTAGATGTTCTTAAACTCGAGTTCATGTATCTGCCTTAGAGGTGTGTGACCACTCTGAAATTATGCCATATGTTGCTGTGTTTACATATGTTAATTTTTATGCTGAGAGGGTATACAGTTTTCTTCAGATTCTTAAGAGGGTTCATGGCCCTGAAAAAGATGAGAACCACTGGCCTATAGATTGTTCACTCTTTCTCTTAGAAGTACCTCTTTGCTTTTTGTTCTTAAAGAAACAGTTATTTTTATCACATGTGTTCATGTGAAAACAAAATCAAATTTGGTTTTCAAACAAACTTCTCAGAAACTTCTTAAATTCACTGTGTTTTATTTGCTTGTAGGATAGTGCAGCTGTCCAGATTCTCTTGGAGATTTGCTTACCTACTGAAGATGAGAAGGCAAAGCGTGTTAATCCAGACAGCTTGCTAAGGAATGTTCAAAGCGTTATTACTGCCAGCACTCCAACTAAGGGAATGGAGGAAGGAGAAGACAATTTGCTCTGTAACCTTCGAGAAGTTCAGTGCCTTATCTGTTGTCTGTTGCACCAAATGTACATTGCGGATCCCAACATTGCTAAGCTTGTTCACTTTCAGGTCTGGTTTCAAAGAATGATTCTTTATGGTTGAACTTTATTTTGGGGGTAGTTCTGAAGTACTAAATTAATAGGAATCATTTAGAAACTGGAGGTCACGCAAATGATCATGGTCCTTTGCAATATGGAGAAAAATCCAGATTTTTAAAATTTGATTTCAGCCTAATAAAGTGTTCATAGAATTTATTTGTATTTTAGTGCATCAGAGAGGTGAAATGCCAGGAAACATGTAGGGCATTGTAGCTTTCTGAGCAACTGTTACATAAAGGAAGTGAAACCTTCCTTTATATTTTTATCTGTATTTGACTTGCAGCTATTTTATTTCTAACTTTTCCCCCCTTTCTTGTTGAGATAGGGTTATCCATGTGAACTTTTGCCTCTGACAGTCGCAGGTATTCCATCTATGCACATCTGTCTGGATTTCATACCTGAGCTTATTGCACAGCCAGAACTTGAAAAACAGGTAATGAGCATTTTGGAACTTTAGGAGAATTTTGATCTCCCTTTAATCTTCTAGTTATATAAAACATTTTACAATTTTTAATACTTAAAGACCTTCTTCAAAAACATGTAATATTTGGATTTTGTGTTACAGATATTTGCTATCCAGTTGCTTTCTCACTTGTGTATCCAGTATGCATTACCAAAGTCACTCAGTGTGGCTCGTTTAGCTGTCAATGTCATGGGAACTCTGCTAACAGGTGTGTAGCCAACCGACATCAATAACAAAAATTTCTAACATAAAGTAGTACATATTTTTTCTGACTTTAGTGACACCATGTTTTCTGTGTCACTAATAGTTATGCCATCTTTTGAATTATTCTTTTTGAAAATTTTCCTATGACAAATGTGATGTATAGTGTAGAGGAGATGAGTAGGTAGGCAAATTGTATCTTTCATTTTTGTGAATGACTGTATATAGATTTATAGTAAATATACTAAGCATTCCACATTTTACAAATGGAAATCAAGTCTACCTTCTGAATATAATTATGTCAATAGAAAACAAGTTACAATCTATTACAAATGCTTAGAATTCAAGAAAAATATAATCATCTGTATAAATAAGAGATAAATATATAAGTTGTTTCCTTAAGTTCTAAAACATACCCTAACATTTTAACCACCTTCTAGGTTGTTAAGTAAAATGGTATGAAAATCAACTAAAAGATATGAACTATAATTCAACCTTTAAAAGTTATGGCTTAGTCAATTTCATATTCTTAGTGCTCCCATAATAATCTATTCATTTATCTTTCCATCGTATTCACTTCATGTTATAATTATTTGCAGTGGTTAAGATCTTACACTGCCTGAGTTCTATCCCAACTCCACTGCTAACTGGAGTTGAAGAAGCTTCTTAATCTCTCTAAGGTTTATTTAAGAGTTTCCTCATATATTAAATAGTATCATAGAAATACTTTTTTCATTCATAAGATTGTGGGAATTAAATGAAACAATGCATGAAGTGCACCTATCACAGTGTTTGGACATAAGCATTTATGTGTTGGATGATGGCTGACTACTAGATTATGAGCTCCCTGAAGGCAGGGGCTGGCCATGTCTTAGAAAACTTAGTATCCTCAGCACAGAGCATGGTGCTTAGTATATTGTATAGGTCATGTATGTTGAATTTGTATCTGTAAAATGAAAAATTCTGTTTTATTTCTTTCTAACAGTTTTAACACAGGCTAAGCGATACGCTTTTTTCATGCCAACTCTGCCAAGTTTGGTCTCTTTTTGTCGAGCATTTCCTCCACTGTATGAGGATATTATGTCTTTGTTGATCCAAATAGGGCAAGTCTGTGCCTCTGATGTTGCCACTCAGACAAGAGACATCGATCCGATTATTACGCGTAAGTAGTAACTTATTTTCAAGAGTTGTTTTAATATCTCAAACAGAAAGGCCCAAATCCTTTCCAGATTTCTTGCCTTATTTATTTTTCCTTATGTTTTTAGGCCTTCAACAAATAAAGGAGAAACCAACTGGATGGTCTGGAATCTGTAAAGATCCATCTTACAAAAATGGACCTAGGGACACTGGAAGCATGGATCCTGATGTACAGCTCTGTCATTGTATTGAAAGCACAATAATTGAAATAATAAACATGAGTGTTAGTGGAATTTAAGAAAAACAAAAACAAAAAAAACTTAAAACAAAAAAATGAAGCTGTTTTGCTGCATATACCCAACATGAATTTGCATCTTATAACAACTAAACTGAATGGGAACAGTAACGTCTTGGAATCACTAAAACGATTCAATTCAACATGAATACAATTTAGAACTCTCTTGAGAATTATGCTTGCTTGTATTTGATTGGCAGTTCTTTGGATCTACTTTGCTGGTATGTTTTTTGTAGCAGCTGAGCTTTTTCTGTTGGGAACACATTTAAGAAACTCATTACTGGAAAGTGAATATGGCCTTGTATTAAGCTTTTGAAGTGAAAAAAAACTGCCATGCCTTTGATTTAATTTCTTATAAAAATAAGTCTGTGGGTAGCCCTAGTATTTACCTGTCAGCTAGTAACAGAGTATATTGATGCAATGATGAGAGGGAGAAAAAGGGAAGGGAGAATTCAGGAAAAATTAGGAGTTTAGATACCCAAATAGAAACCTCTAAACTTGCAATGCAAGTAAGAGTAATGCAAGATGGAATTCCTTTTCTCAAGAAATAGTATTGAGAAGGCTTTAAAAAAGGCAAGTAGCTTTTTGTGAATGATTTTCATGGAATTACAGATGAGGATTTTAAGATTTTACATATTTGCTTCAATTTTTACTAATATGTGAAGCCATATGTTTAAAGAGATACTTGAATAATTTGGAATTTTAAGATACTGGTTTAAAAGTGTTTACAGAAACATCTTTGTGCAGAGAAGAACCTGAAAGGATGTCTCATTTAGTTTTTTTAAAGTTTATTTTTATAATGGTCAGAGGGGGGAAATACTTTGGTATCTAAAGTTTAGAGCAATAAAACCCACTGGATTAAAGAGTTCTTGGTTTGTCATTAGGATTATAATTCACATCATAATTCTAGATTTTGAAGTACAAAAATATATACAGTGTTTGGACCACAGGAAAAATTAAAAAGGGGAAAATACTGTGTTGTGGAAGGATTTTGCAGTCCTCTTTTAGGAATGTCCATTGATTAGGTAGATGCATTCAGATAACCCATAATCCTCATTTTTTTTTCTTTCTTTTTTTTTTTTTTTTTTTTGGCGGTACGTGGGCCTCTCACTGTTGTGGCCTCTCCCATTGTGGAGCACAGGCTCCAGATGTGCAGGCTCAGCGGCCATGGCTCACGGGCCCAGCTGCTCCGCGGCATGTGGGATCTTCCCAGGCCGGGGCATGAACCTGTGTCCCCTGCATCGGCAGGCGGACTCTCAACCACTGCACCACCAGGGAAGCCCCTCATTTTTATTCTTAATGAAGTATCCAGTGTAGAAGGTACTTCTCTTTGCTTTCTGAGATATACCTGAATGAACGCCCCCTTCCCACCCCACTTGAAACAGACCTCTTCACTTATAAAAGAAATAAGGCAGGCTAATAAGAAAGTGTGGTTTTTAAGAAAAAAAATTTAATTTCAACCTTTTCACTAGCAAATAGTCACATCTTATTTTCCTTCTGTGTAAAATGGGATTACTGCTGGCCCTACCTCATAAGGGTATAAGAACTAATTTGTATCTGTTTCAAATCATGAAGTGCACAGTATCAATGATGAGAGTATTTATAACTTTTATTAGATGCTTAAAGTTCAATTAAGTAATTTTGATGCAAAAAATAAAAGCGTACACTTAAAAACAAACTATAAGAATTTTCATATTTTTAAACAAGGCAGTTTTGTAGTCTTTTAAAATTAAGTACAACTGCTCCTGTTTTGTTTTGTTTAAACTGAGGCTTTGGAATATCTTGTGTGAGTAGGTAACCTCTAGGAATTCAGAAAAGGTTTTCTAACTAAATGCTGTGCACATTCCTGGATCAATTTTCAAAGACTGGTCAAAACCTGCTGTGTTAAAATAATAACATATGCTGTTTTTCATCACGTTTGTTGATGATGTAAATAAAATGTGTAAATATATTAGTAAATGTTAATATTCATGTATTTTAAGTTAAGGTTATAACATTTGTCACAATGTGATTTTTTTTTCAAGTGAAAAACAGATGTGTGCAGCTATTTTGAATATTGGTTTATAAACATTCATATTCTTTATCAAATGAACTTGTAGCTTTTTGTGTTTCATTTCACCACTGTTAACCTGAAAGGAACAGTTCAAGGGACTGGAATCCAGGACTTTCTGGCTCCAGAAACTATGTGTATCCCTTTTTGTTACGCTACATACATCAAAAGGCAATACAAGGTGAGAGTCGGTTGAGAGCCTTAGGAATTCAGGAGAGGAAAATCAGAGTAGTTACCCTGGAGCAGTTACTTAAAAGATTTTGATGTTTAAAAAAAATTGTAAAAGCAGAATAATAATTTGAAGGTATTTTTAAGGATTTATTTTTATAAATTATCTTCCATAGCACTGTCTTACCAGTATTTCATTTTTTTGTACTTTCCCTTCATCTTTGCTTATGCATATGTATTTTCACATAATGGAATTCCATAATACCCAGTTTGGCATCTGCTTTTTTTTCACTTAACTTTATATGGAAATTTTTTGCAAGTTGTTTGGTTTTTATAATTATTCTGTTGGCTCCAGAATGACTGAATTGATATAACCATCTCCCTATTACTACTAGACTGGGAAGTTAATGATTTTTTTCCGAACAGAATGGGCACTATTATCAACTGAGGTACTACTACTTTTTCTTACTTTTAGATTACTTCTTTAGGGTAAATTTCTGAGCCTGAGATTACTAAATTAAAGGGTAGAATTTATTTTTATGATTGTACGTTTTGTCATTTTGGGAAGATATAGTAAAACAAAGTGAGGCAAACAAATCAACTCGCCTTTTGCTGCTCCGACCTGCAGCAAATCTCTGTCCCAAACTGGTTTCTCGGGATGTGAGAAACTGTCTCAGGTTTTGCTTTTGGGGGGGCACTAGTATTTGAGCCAAGTTTAGGCTAGAGTTTAAAAAAAAACCCAACAGTTTCGCGACATCATGGTTAACTCCGTACCTTTGAGGAAACTGAAGTGTCCTTGGCAAAGAATAAATTGGTTTTAGGAGGCACAGAAGGCTGACAAGCCTTAAAGGAGGTACTGGAGACCTCGAGAGCGTTTCTCTGGTTGAACGTGGTATCTGAGAAAGCCTTGACTGTCAGGAGATTCTGTAGCCAGCTGTCATCGAACCTTTTCGCCTAATTTGGCTCAGCAGTCTGGCAATTTCCTCCTGGGTCTTTTTGATACTCTGGCTTCCGGAAAGTTCAGAAGTTTGAATCGGGTGCCCCTGAGGAATGCTGAGAGAACTCGGCGCGGCTTAAGGGTGTTTCCTCTTCGTCGGTCTACAGACCTTAAATGTGAGACTTAAGAGTTTCCAAGAAAACTGAGGCACGGATTAAATCACCGGTTTCAAAAAGTCCAACGGAGGACGCTCTTTTAGTTTTAAATCCCTGGGCTCTGCGGAAGTCCATCACTCTCGAGGCACTCGCCTTCCGGTGCCGCCAAGTAGCTTGGGCCCTTCCTTACTGCGGGGGCTTCCGTTGGGCGCCCCCTGACCTCGAGCCGGGATTGGTTGCTTGGTTTCTCGTCTTGGCGGGGATTGGTTGTCTGAGCTCGCCCGGTGATTGGTGCTGGGAGTCGAGGGGGTGGGAGGCGGGAATTCGTCTGCGCGGGTGTTGTGGAAGTGACTGATGAGAGCTGAAGGGCCGAAAAGGTAAAGCGGACGCAAGCCCGCGACCGGGCCCGGGAGTCGCAGCCAGGTGAGGAAGAGGGGCTAGGACCTTTCTTCTCTACCAGGGCTCCGCTGTGGTTGCTCGCAGTTTTCAGCTTCCTTTTCTCCCGTGAGTGGGAGTGCAGTAGGCGTTGTTTGGGTTTTCCTCAGGGCGGGCAAGTCTGTCTGGCGGGAAGGGCGCGAACTCGGCCAGGAGAGTGCCTTCTGCTTTCGTCCACCCGCTTTGCAGGCCCGTCGGTTGACTGGATCACCAGGGCCTCGGGGGTTCCAGCTTGCTGAGGGAGGAGGGAATGTGAGGAAGAAAACCTGGGGAGCGGGGAGACTGCAGCTTACCTCCTTGGAACAGAGGCCTGTTATTAGCCCCGGGCCCCGCGTTACCTCGGGGCAGGAGGGGGCGACGGCGGGAGCCTGATCTTGGTTTGTCCTTTATTCAGTGTGTGGGGAAGCTTCCCCATTTTGAGATGAGTGTAGCCGCAACTGGGGCGCGGGGGGGGGGGGCGATTGGTTTCTAGGTTGTATCTGAGTTACTAGGCCAGCCTTGAGCTGTTGGTTTAGATTTAGGGGTGAGATTCCACCAAATTTCATCCTCAGAGCTTCACAGAAACACTAAATGTTAGAACTGGAAAAGACCTTAGAATAGTGGTTCTTAACTTCTTTGGGAACACATAAACTTTGGTGATGGTTGTTATTGGCTTCATCATCTGTTGAGTTGGTATTTTAACCATCTCTCCATCCCCAGATCGAATTTACCTTTTTATCACCATTGCAAATAATTTTTCAGTTGATAACAGTGTATGTCATCTTCCCTCAGTTTTCAGTTATTTCCTTAGGATATATTTCTGGGTATGAGAAATCTTTGGACTTTCTCTCTAGAAAAATGCAGTCATACACAGAAATTTCTGCATGCAGTATCAAGAGATCACAGTCTTTCAATTACATCTGTGGATCCTAGGTTAAGAAAAGGTGGTTTACAAGAGGTGGGGATTAAAGTAGATCATTTCCTCTGTATCACATGCTGGAGTTGAGGCACATTCTGTACATTACCTTATTTAATTCTTAAGTCAGTGCCTGGCTAATTTTCATAAAAACCCTATCAGGTGGATATCTCTATTTCACAGATGAAGAAACAGGCTCTGTGAGATTCACAGTGGAATTCAAATTTAGGCTTGCCTTACTTCAAAGTCCATCTTCCTTCCATTATACCCTACTGACCTTTAAGTAAGAATTATTGAGCACCTATCATGTGCCAAGGCGCTTTGTTCCTTACAACAATTTTTAAATTATGGATTTTTACAGATAAGGATCTCAGTCTAGAGAAGTGAAGAGACATGATCAGGGTAACATATCTGAGTTGTTGTCAAAACCTGATGTAGAAACTGTTTCCTAACTCCTGGTCCACAGCTTTGGCAGAATAAGGTTACAGATCCAGATTTGTTAGATTCCAAGACATGCTCTCAACCACTGTGATTTATAAGAGTAGGAAATCCTTTTACTTCCATTTGTTTTGTTTATACATTTATTAATTCCAATTTTTGTTTCTAGACTTCTTTCCTAGTCTTAGGTATCTGTTTTTCTTTGAATGGCTTTGTTTCAGTATTGACTTTGATTTCTGTTGCAGTTAGGAATCTGAAGTAAATAGTAAAACATGATGTCTTCAGTATGTTCTGAGTATACAATTGGTGGGGTGAAGATTAACTTTCCTTGTAAAGCTTATCCATCACAGCTTGCTATGATGAATTCTGTAAGTATTGTTCAGCAGTTATTTTAAGTCTTTATTAAGATACAGATGCTTATAATTCATAACATACATTGAGTCTGTGACTACATTTTCTCAGATAGTAAATGGATTGAAAATATTTGCTGGGTTCATTGAAGAACATCTAACCTTTGGAAAAGTAATACTGATTGCTGCTAAACTGTATATGTCTATGATTAGGAGGTAAAGGAGAACATCCTGAAAAATGTTCTCAACTCATTTAGAACTTCTGTTTACTTTACTGAATTACTTTGAAATAGAAAGTATTTACTATCTTTTACACAGACTACTATACTTTTCACCATAATTTTTTTGAGATATTTCAATCATATAGAAAATTAATATACAAACGAGTAAACCAACTTACCAGCTTTGTTAAATCTTAATATTTTGCCTTATTTACTTTATACCTTGTTTATGAGTAACAAGATAACTAATATCCTGAATTTGTTATTTTTCTTTCCTAGCCATGTTTTTATACTTTTATTGCGTATGTATGTATCCATAAACAATATAGTGTATACTTTACATTTTTATAACTTTGCACAATGATATGATATTATACTTATCTTTCTGGAGAACTTGATTTTTTTTTTTTTTACTTAATATTCTTCTTCTTATTATTATTTTTTAAGGATTTATGCCATAAGTTTTTTTATAGACGTACCTAGTATGTTGCGTTCAAGAGTTGGATACTTTTTTCAGAGAGATTGCACCTCTTAAAATGCTCCTCTTCATATTTGTTTCATGGATTAGTTTTTGAGCAGTTGGTGTCTTACTATAAAGAAAGGAGAAACAAATCCAGATCAGAAGTACAAAGTCATTGTAACTAGTAATCGCCCCTTGTTTTCCACTGAAAATGGTAAATTCTTCCCTGGACCCTCCTCATAGTGGCTCCTATGGACCACAGAGGTTGTGAACCTCCAGATGCTCTGTCCCAGCGTAGTGCTGTTGGAAGCCTGTGGAAGGTGCAGAGACTGAAGGCGGAAGAAATGGCAGCAGCACACCAAGCCCTCCTTTCCTCACGACCTTGTTCCCTTGTCTAACATTATTTTTAAGATGTAGCCCTATTGACTGATAACTCATTTTCACTGCTGTATGGTATTCCATTGTATGAATATACCAGAATTTTATATTTGCCCATTTTCCTCTTGATAGACATTTGGGTTGTTTACATTATTTTGCAATTATAAACAGTGCTGCTATGAACTTTCTTATACATGTTTCCTTGTGTTCCTGTGGGAAAGGTTTTGGGTGTTTACATAGGACTGGATTGCTGGAGTTCAGTATCTTTAACTTTACTAGAAATTGATAATTTCTATACAGAGTGGTTGTAACACTCCCACCAACAGTATCCTCCATTAAGTTTTCATCAAAGATATTAGTGTATTCTAGTTTTACAGAAATGATGGTGCTTGCATAAGTAAGGCACAAATTGCTTTTCATTTCTTTTGTGCTTGGTATGGTTTAAATCTAACAGAATTTTAGGGAGAGATACAAAGGAATAAAGTCTAGATTTAACTAAATTCTAGTTCTCCTTTCTGCTATTGCTCTGTTCCCTGAAGTGCATGCAACTTTACTTCTTGTTGTTGTATGGAGAGAGACTTTAATGAGATAAGTTGTTGAGTTTTTAAAATTGTTTTTGTGTCCATAGATTGTCAGAGGATTAAATAGTAAGCAGCATTGTTTGTTGGAGAGCCCCACAGGGAGTGGGAAAAGCTTAGCCTTACTTTGCTCTGCTTTAGCATGGCAGCAATCTCTTAGTGGTAAGTAGTTGGTTGATGGCTTCAGGTTGCTTATTGGGACCTGAAAAAAAAATCTAATAAAGTACTTTTTACCCAGAATGATTCAGCCATGTTCTAGCTAATTTAAATATTCTCTTTTAAGATATTTCTTTATAATCAGTTATATATCTTCCAAAAGAGTTTCAATATAGCAAAATATGTTCAGTTAATCCTAAAATAATTTTGAACATAAGATAGTCCTTTATTTGATGATTCAGCATGTATATAAGAATCTAGGATTTTATTTTTATTATTTTTCATAATACTGATTATGAAAATAATTAGATGATAATTTTTATATAAAAGTTGCAAGAGATGGGGCTGTCATGATTATATAGCATATCAATACAAATAATTGCTTTTTTTGAGTAAATCCTTTAATATAGCTGCTTATCTCACAACATTAGAAAATGGAATACATAAAAAAGAAAAATTCTAGTTGACCTTTCTACTTGTTTGGATGCCAGATAAGCAGAAGTTTATTGTAATATTGTTTTTATTAATTCATATTATTTCCCATAGCTTTATTGGCTAGCAAATGTCTAGTTACTTTTGTGAAAGACTATCTAATATACATAATGAATCTGAAATACAATATTGGTCACATTTTAGTTACATAATTAGATGACTCTGTCCTAAAGTATTAGGAGATTTTAAAGTTAACCATGGGTGTATATGTGTATGTATGTATGTGTGTATATATACATGTACACACATATATATGTTTTTTGAAAAGAAATAGTTGTGTTACTGGTAAGACTATTAAAAATAAAGAGTAAATATTTTATAAGCTTTTGGTTGTCCATTTTGTTTCTTATTGATGTTTATGTTTGGGGAAAATGAGATTATCTGTTAATAAATTTTTAGTGGGAGACTCTGGAAAATAAAATTAGTAGTATTTATGTAGTGCAGATGGGAAAATAATGTCAGTACTGTTTATAGAAAATAAAATAAATTATTCAGCTTTTATATATCTATGAATTGTATATTTATACGATGTAGGCACACGAAGAACTATTACAATTTTGTATTATATTTAAGTATTGAAAATTACCTGTTTAATTTGAATATTGACTTTAAAATGTATTTTGATACATGTATCAGAAATGATATCATGAAACATGTTTTTTGAAATAGAAGTATAATGTGGGAATAATTTAACGTTATGTGTTTACGTTATTATTTTATATTGAACTTTCAAATTTTTCATTTAGGGAAATAGCAGTAATTAAGAGTATAAATAATTAAGAATATACTTTAGGTATACTTGGTATTTTAATATATCTCAATATAAATGAATACTCGAGTGGTTGTGCCTCTGTTACATTATTAATCTTTGACTGTTATTAGATTATTGTAAATCATATAAATTGTTGATAACTTCTCTATAAATGTTTCTGGCATAAGTGTTTCTCACCTGTCCTAATTTGATGCTGCAGGATGGGTGACCAACTTGTCCAGATTTGCCAGGTACTTTCCTGGTTTTAGAACTGAAATTCTGAATCCTGGGAAACCTCCCAATCCTGGGCAAAAAATAAGGTGGTTGCACACCCTAGCTGAAGAGGAATATTAGTGTTTTTTTAATTAGAAATATTATAAATAGAGGTTATTTCATTTTTAGGGAAGCCAGTGAACGAAGGCTTAAGTAAAAAAGCTGAAGTACCATTGTCGTGTTGTTGTACATGCCATTCAAAGAATTTTACAAACAATGACGTGAACCAGGGAACTTCATATCATTTCAACAGTCCAAGTATACCAACTTCTGAAAGAAATGGCACTTTGTCAACTTGTCAAGGTAGTTTATATTTTGTCTGGGTCTTTTGGTATCTGTAATAGGGGTCTTAATTATTGCTGTTATGAGACCTAATGTAGATAAATTTGGTTAGCATAATTGGTTATGTATTTCCACCTAATTTCTCTGGAATTATTTTGAATAATGCATAGAGTGGTCAGAAATCCTTGGAATATTTTATTCTTGGCCTCACTTTTAACTGATTCAGACATCTTGCTAGTTTAAATCATTTTTGAGGAAGCAAGGCAAAATAACTGATATTCAGAAATTGATGTTATTCGTAAGCAGTATTAATTATATGTCAGAATTTTATAAAACATTTTGATTTGTATTGTAAGGCAAAATCTAATTAGCCTCATTCACTCTTGATAAGTTTGCCTAGACTTCCAAGACCAGTATCCTATATGAGAATGAGGTATGTTTCAAATATGATCCTTAGATGTTCTTACTAGATTTATTTAAGAGAATGTATTATCAATAACATAAGACTATAAATTTAAAGAATATTTCTTTTGCTTTGACTGTATGGAAAAGATTGACCATTACTTGCCTAAGCCAGAAACCTAGGAGACATCCTGTACACTTTGGTATTTCTTATTCCTCCATGCAAATCTCCACCTCCATTGGTAACTTCCCTAGTACAAACTACCATTTGTTCTTTAGACCGTGTAATAACTCCTTTCCTGCTTTCACTCATGCCATTCCTTAACTAATCACTGGCAGGGAGAAAAGAGGTTGCCATGACTGGCTTAAGTCTAAACAGTATCCACTTCCTAAAATCAAGGATCGAGTTGTCTTCCTCTAAAGCACATGACTATGTGGAGGATGGTAGCTGCTTGAACCGAAGTGTGATTCTTTTAGGAATGAGGAAGAGGAAGTGGAATAGATGCCGGAGAGGTGACCAATAGTGTTGTCTACTCGGTTTTGACCCTTAACATTTTTGGCTTTCTTTCCGAACATTCTTTCAAAGGGTTATGCTTTCTGCTGCCTTCAGAGCCTTTGCTTGTGTTAGTGTCTCTTCTGAGGAAAATTTCATCTTCAACTTGTCCTGCTCTTCCTTTAGCTCTCAGCTTAGGTATCACTTCTTTAAGGCAGCCATACTGATCTTTCCGTCACACTACATTTGGTTTCCCTATTATATTCTGTCATCTCACTGTGTACCTCTCCTTCATAGCACTTGTTACAATTTGTATTATCCACGTGTCTGTGTGCATCTTTTATTAATCTCTGCTTCCCCTAGCAGACTGTATACTCCATGAGGTCAGGAACTGTGTCAGTTTGCTCGCCATTGCATACCTAGCAGTGCCTGGCATATAGTAGGAGCTAGATAAATATTTGTTGTATGAATGAATGGAATTGTTTTTAAGCTAATTATTAATATAAGAACTCTTGGCTTATAATGTTAATGTACAACCTGTATTTTTTTTTAGACAGCTTTACTGAAATATTCTTGACATAACAGACTCTATATATTTAAATGGTACATTTTGATAAGGTTCGACATAAGAGTATTTCCCTGAAACTTTCACTAACATCAAGATAGTGAATATATCCATCAGCTTCAAAAGTTTTCTCATGCCCCTTTATTATCCCTCCTTTCCACCATTTTATAATTTATCCTCCCCAAACAACCACTGAGTGTTTTCGGTCACTGTAGATTAGTTTGCATTTTCTAGAGTTTATATGAATGAAGTAATACAGTTTGTATACTTATTTTGCCTAGCTTCTTTCACTTAACATAATTCTTTTAAAATTCATCCATGTTGTTGCATGTATCAACAGTTGGTTCTTTTTTATTGCTGAGTAATATTCTATTGTATGGATATACTACAAATTGTTTATGCAGTCACCTGTTGATGTGTATTTGAGTTGTTTCTAGTTTCCGGTTGTTACAAATAAAGCTGCTGTGAACATTTGTGTATAAGTCGTTGTTATGGACATGTGCTTTCACTTTTCTGGGTAAATACCTAGGAGTGTAATGACTGGATCACTTACGTTTAACTTTAAGAAACTTCAAAAGTGTTTCCCAAAGTAGTTATGCCATTTTACATTTCCACCAGCAGTGTATGAGAGTTCCCATTTCTCTGCATCCTTGCCAGCACTTGGTATGGTAAATCTTTTTAGCCATTCTAATAAGCTTATAGTGGTATCTTATTGTGGTTTTATTTTGCTTTTCCCTGATGACTTGTGATGTTGAGCATATTTTCATGTGCTTATTAGCCATTTGTATATCTTCTTTGATGAAATGTCTGTTGAAATCTTTTGCCTGTTTATTGTTTTTTTCTTATTGTTAAGTTTGGGATTTCTTTATATATTCTTGAGTACAAGCTTCTTTTTTTAATCAAGTATAGTTTTAGGTTTTACTTTTAAGTCTAAAGAGTAATTTTTATATACGGTGTGAGATGTGGATCCAAGTTCGTTTATTTTGCCTATGAATATCTAATTTTTCATCAACATTTATTGAAAAGGCTACCCTTTGTCTGCTGCATTGACTTTGTGCCTTTGTAAAAATCAGTTTTCAATACACTTGAATTTTAATATAATTGTGAGTTAGAGTTGTTTAGAGTAGTCTCTTCAAGGATCAGATGGGGTAAATCTGGGTTGTATTCTGATGCTCTCTTTACATTTTTAAGTAAATTCTTTAAAAATATAACCTAAATGCAGAAAAATGCACAAATTCTATGTGTATAGCTTGATGAATTTTCACAAAGTAAACACACTCGTGTAACTACCACTAGATGAAAAATAGGACATAGCCAACACCCCAGTGGCACTTCTCATGTTCTTTTCCTGTCACTATTCTCTCTCTCCACAGGTAGTAGCTATCCTCCCTCTGTCACCATTGATGAGTTTTGCTTCTTTATAGAAATGGAATTATATCTGTACTCTTGTGTCTGTCAGCTTTTACTTAACATATTTCTCAGATTAATTTGTGTTGTATATAGCAGTAGTTCTTATTGCTGTATTCTGTGGTATATAATAAATTATATACCATAATTTATTATTTTATTCTACAATTGTTAGACGTTTGGGTGGTTTCTAATTTTGGTTATTAAAGCTATTATGAACATTCTTGTTCATTCTGGTACAGATAGGTAAACCCTTTCTATTAGATATAGATCTAGGAATGGAATTGCTGGTCATAGTGTATGCATATGTTGAACTATAGTGGATACTGCCAACGTTTTCCAAAATGGTTGAACCAATTTATTCATCCCCCCTGCCCCGACTCTACATCCAGTAGTATATGGAAGTTACATTGTTCAACATTCTTTTTTTTTAAATTTATTAATTTAATTTATATTTTATTTTTGCCTGCGTTGGGTCTTTGTTGCTGCTCGCGGGCTTTCTCTAGTTGTGGCGAGTGGGGTCTACTCTTTGTTGCAGTGTGCGGGCTTCTCATTGTGGTGGCTTCTGTTGTTGTGGAGCACAGGCTGTAGGTGCGCAGGCTTCAGTAGTTGTGGCACGTGGGCTCTAGAGCGCAGGCTCAGTAGTTGTGGCACACGGGCTTAGTTGCTCTGCGGCATGTGGGATCTTCCCGGACCAGGGCTTGAACCCTTGTCCCCTGCATTGGCAGGCAGATTCTTAACCACAGCACCACCAGGGAAGCCCCCAGCATTCTTGTTATCACTTGATATTCAAGTCTTTTTAAGTTTTAGTCGTTATGGTGCCTGTGTGTTGTTCTCGTGAATTTTAATTGTTATCTCTGTGGTAACTAATGAGGTTGATAATCTTTTTTTTTAAATCTTTATTGGAGTATAATTGTTAGTTTCTGTTGCACAACAAAGCGAATCAGCCATATGCATACACATGTCCCCATATCCCCTCCCTCTTGAGCCTCTCTCCCATCCTTCCTATCCCACCCCTCTAGGTCATTGCAAAGCACCAAGCCAGTCTCTCTGTGCTATGCTGCTGCTTCCCACCAGCCAACTATTTTACATTCGGTAGTGTATGTATGTCGATGCTACTCTCACTTTGCCCCAGCTTTGCCCTCCCGCCCCGTGTCATCAGGTCCATTCTGTATGTCTACTTCTTTATTCCTGCCCTGCAACTAGGTTCATCAGTACCATTTTTTTTTTTTTAGATTCCATATACATGTGTTAGCATACAGTATTTGTTTTTCTCTTTCTGACTTACTTCACTCTGTATGACAGACTCTGTGTCCATCTACCTCACTACAAATAACTCCATTTCGTTTCTTTTTATGGCTGAGTAATATTCCATTGTATATATGTGCCACATCTTCTTTATCCATTCATCTGTCGATGGACATTTAGGTTGGTTCCATGTCCTGGCTATTGTAAGTAGTGGAATTGCTGGGTCATATGGTAGTTCTACTTTTAGTTTTTTAAGGAACCTTCATGCTGTTTTCTATAGTAGTTTTATCAATTTATATTCCCACCAACAGTGTAGGAGGGTTCCCTTTTCACCACACCCTTTCCAGCATTTACTGTTTCTAGGTTTTTTGATAATGGCTATTCTGACCAGCGTGAGGTGATACCTCACTGTAGTTTTGATTTGCATTTCTCTAATAATTAGTGATGTTGAGCATCTTTTCATGTGCCTCTTGGCCATCTGTATGTCTTCCTTAGTGAAATGTCTATTTAGGTCTTCTGCCCATTTTTTAACTGGATTGTTTGATTTTTGATATTGAGCTCCAAGAGCTGCTTGTATATTTTCAAGATTAATCCTTTGTCTGTTGTTTCATTTGCAAATGTTTTCTCCCATTCTGAGGGTTGTCTTTTTGTCTTGTTTATGGTTTCCTTTGCTGTGCAAAAGCTTTTAAGTTTAATTAAGTCCCATTTGTTTATTTTTGTTTTTATTTCTGTTACTCTGGGAGGTGGGTCAAAAAAGATCTCGCTGTGGTTTATGTTAAAGAGTGTTTTTCCTATGTTTTCCTTTAAAAGTTTTATAGTGTCTGGTCTTACATTTAAGTCTTTAATTCATTTGGAGTTTAGTTTTGTGTATGGTGTTAGGAAGTGTTCTAATTTCATTCTTTGACATGTAGCTGTCCAGTTTTCCCAGCACCACTTATTGAAGAGGCTGTCTTTTCACTGTTGTATGTTCTTGCCTCCTTTGTCGTAAGTTAGGTGCCCATATGTGCATGGGTTTATCTTTGGGCATTCTATCCTGTACCATTGATCCATATTTCTGTTTTTGTGCCAGTACCATACTGTCTTGATTACTGTAGCTTTGTGGTATAGTTTGAAGTCGGGGAGGCTGATTCCTCAAACTATATTTTCTTTCTCAAGATTGCTTTGGCTATTGGGGGTCTTTTGTGTTTCCATACGAATTGTGAGATTTTTTGTTCTAATTCTGTGAAGAATGCCATTGGTAGTTTGATAGGGATTGCATTGAATCTGTAGATTGATTTGGGTAGTATAGTCATTTTCACAATGTTGATTCTTTCAACCCAAGAACATATATTTTCTCCCATTCTGCAGGTTGTCTTTTTGTTTTGTTTATCATCTCCTTTGCTGTGCAAAAGCTTTTGAGTTTAATTAGGTTCCTTTTATTTTTTTTTAACATCTTTATTGGGGTATACTTGCTTTACATTGTTGTGTTAGTTTCTGCTGTATAGCAAAGTGAATCAGCTATATGTATGCATATATCCCCATATCCCCTCCCTCTTGCATTTCCCTCCCACCCTCCCTGTCCCACCCCTCTAGGTGGTCACAAAGCACTGAGCTGATCTATGAGTCTGCTTCCCGCTAGCTATCTATTTTACATTTGGTAGTGTACATCCATTTGTTTATTTTTGTTTTTATTTCCATTACTCAGGGAGATGGATTGAAAAAGATATTTCTGCGATTTATGTCAAAGAGTGTTCTGCCTGTGTTTTCCTCTAAGAGTTTTTTTATAGTATCCCATCTTACATTTAGGTCTTTAATCCATTTTGAGTTTATTTTTGTGTATGGTGTTAAAGAATGTTCTAATTTCATTTTTTTACATGTAGCTGTCCAGTTTTCCTAGCACCATTTATAGGCGTCCCTCTTGAAAGCATATTTCTAAAAATGTTTGCTGTGTCTTTGTTAAAGTATACTGAGCGGTAAATAAGTGCTTTTAAAGATGTTTAGCATTTCCTATTTTAAACTATGTTATGAAGTTTTTAGAAATAAGTCTTAACATCTTTTTTAAAGTTGAAGCATAGTTTATTTACAGTATTATCTTAGTTTTGGGTGTACAGCATAGTGATTCAATATTTTTACAGATTAAAGTCTTACATCTTGATTTCAATTTTTTTCTAAAAATATTACCTAAATGTAAGTTATTTATACTGATTTTTTATGACTTCTTATATAAGACTCTCCTGAAAAAACTACACTGGCTGCAAAGCTATCTGCTAAGAAACAGGCATCCATGTACAGAGATGAAAATGATGATTTTCAAGTAGAGAAGAAAAGAATTCGACCCTTAGAAACTACACAGCAGGTAAACAGTTTATTGGCAGTGGAATAATCCCATTAGTTATAGCTGAACAAGGTAGTCAAGTATCAATCATTTTTCAGTGGCATCTGTAGAGATTATTTTGGGTAGTGTCAGATATGAATTAAATGGTAAATTATTATAATTTCATTGTATAGAGTTACTCATTACAAAGGAGTTTATTATAGTAAATTATTCATAGTAGCATGTCATTAAAGTGAAACTGAATGGTGCTTTCTTATATATAAGGAATTTGACAATAAAATATTTACTTAAGGCATGTATCAATAACAGCTACTTGGTACTTTTTAACTCCTCTGTTGTTTTTATCTAATAATGGCATTTTCTTTTGGCTAATATACCTCTGATATGAATATTTAGGTCATAGATACTTTTGGTATTGATAGTTTTAATGTAATGACAAGGTTTACTGTTATTTATTGAGTTTTTAATATCATTACGTTATAAAATATGTTTATTTCTAAAAATTATTGAAGAACCGAAATTACTAGAAATTTTAAATGAAATGTTTTCATAGGTGAAAACAGTGTTTTCTCATAGAGTTCATGGCATTGAGGTAAGGAGGATGGACTTTAATAGACTTAGTTACAAATAAAAAAGATTATTAAATTAACATGTCCTTTGTAGATAATTGTATATTTTTAATTGAATATACTCAAAAGGTATTTGCATTTTTATGTAGTTTATCTGTTCCATTTACAATCTTTATTAACTTCCATGATTAAACCTTGTTTTTAGAAATAGAATGAAATCGTTTTCTAGTTTTATATTTGGAAAATCACCAATTACAAATGAAGTATCTCTAGAGATTTCTTTCCCACAAAATGTGTACTTAGAGTTGGATGTTGTGAGGTAGAGCTCAACATATAGCATTTATTCCCTGACTTCATTGGCTCTCATTTCTTTTTTGTAGGAATGGAATTATCGACAGAAATGCTTCTTTTCCTCTTTATAATTTAAGTAAATAGGTTTTGGCAAGTAAGAAAAAGCATAGATAGTTTGGAAAGAAAACAGTGGTGTTTATAAAAGAAATTTAGTCAAATACAATTTGGATTATCAAATATCTAGTAAGTAATATAATAATAGTAATCAAGTAATTTATTTCATCAGGTAGGAAATAATGAGTATTTACATTTAAAGTTTTTATTCTATGTTTTTTTTTCAATTTAGAATAAGGTTTCCATTTTTATTTACTTTTATTTTCCAATTAGATATGTAATCGGACTTTGCCATAATACTATTCTTGGTATCCATATGGTGGGACTGTTTTATGGGAAGATCATTTTACAATGCTATAGTTTTGCCACATCATTAATTAAAGCTATTTTGGTCGGAATTTGAGAGGTATTACTGTATTCTGTTTTATTTAAGTCTTATAATAAGGTGCCTATTTGTTTTTAGAAACTTTTTGATTGTTGCCAGTGAGAAATAGTCATTTTTTTTAATGCTGAAAACACGTTATAGCTATTCTGATCTTTGAGAGCAACTAGCCTCATCAAACTTCCTAGTTACAATAAATTTTATTTTGGTTCTGTATTTACAGATTAGAAAACGTCATTGTTTTGAAAAGGAGGTGCACCATTTGGATGCAAAAGTTGCTTCAGGAAAGACCACAAAACTCAACTCCCCATTAGGAAAGATAAACTCCTTTTCTCCACAAAATGTATGTATTTATGCCATTGTTCAGTTTAAAGAAGGAAAATGTGGAATTTGCTAAATCCATTTTTGAAAAAGATGAAGAATAGTGTAATCAAAGAAGAGTAGAAAACAACTCAGAGGTGCTAAGTGCTGTCACATGTCTTCTGCTGTGTGAGATGGTAAACCTATGCTCTTTGTGCCCCAGTTTCCTCATTTATAAAATAAGAGAATTGGACTAGAACGAGATCTGAAAGTTTTTTTCCTCTTTTACATTCTAATGTTTGTGAACTCTACTTCCTAGAGTTCTTTCAGTGTCCTTAGGGCATTAGTTCTCAAAGGAGTAGTCCAGGGAGCTCTGGAGATTCCTGAGATTTTTTTCCAGATAGTCTGTGAGGTCAAACGTATTTTCATAGTGATGTTAAGATGTTACTTACCTTTTTTTTTTTTTTTTTACCGTCTTTGACATTTGCACTGATGGTACAAAAGCATAGGTTGGTAAAACTGTTGGTGCTTTAGCACAATAAGGGTAGTGGCATCAACCTGTATTAATAGTTATTTTCTTCACTGTCGTTAATGCACAGTTAAGAAAAGCCAGTTTCATTTAAGTCCTTGATGAAGCAGTAAAAATTACTAATTTTATTAAATCTTCACCCTTGAGATTTTTAACATTCTGTGTGAAGAATAGAGTAGTTTTCGTAAATCACTTTTGCATTCAGGAGTAGGATGGTTTTCTTGAGGGAAAGCACTTATAGGATTGTTTGGATTGTGAGCTGAACTAGCCACTTTTTTCACAGAACATTGTTTTTACTTGAAAGAATAACTGAGGCTAACTTCGGTAATTCTCGAAAATAAACAAAGTGAGCCTGATAAAATTTGAGTTTTCAGTGAAAAATCAGAATTTTGAAAAATTGTGTATACTACTGTGAGCTTAGCAGTTTTCTGATACTTAAAGACTGATGATATTTATTGGTGGTGATATTGTATACGTGACTTTTTGATATTGTATAATGAAATATGTTTCATTTATATAGTTTTATATAAATGGAATCATGCCTGGAATTTTTTATTGAATTCCAAATATTGTGAAGTTTACCTTGTTGGGTACTGGATATTATTGTATTTCTATAAGTACTCTTGAGTTTTGCTCTGGGATGCAGTTAAATTACTTGGAATCAGCTTGATCCTTTTGGTTCTTGCTTTTAGGATTTGTTAGGTAGGACCTGAGCCGGGTTTAGTTTTGGGCTACCTCAGTAGAGGCTACCTCCTTTTGAGTCCTCTACCTAATGCTCCATGAATTGTGAAGTTTTCCAGCCTGGCTGGTGGGAACAGGTACTGTTCCATGCTGTCTGTGGGTGTCTCATCATTTCAGGTGGTTCTTGCCACTATCTTGGATTGTTTCCTCATTGGCATGTGCTGATCAGTACTCTAGTAGATACTTGAGAGGTCCTTCTGCAGATCTCTGGAGTGCATTCTTTGTGCAGCACTCTCCATTCTGCTTTCTTCTCTGTGAACTTTAGTCTTGGTCTCCCTGGACTCTCAGCAGTGTCTCTTCAACTTGGGTTTGCTGGACTATATCTGGGTTCCCCTTCCCCATGCCACAGCATGCAAACTCTCAGGACAACAAGCTGAAAGAATCATAAGGCTTAATCTCATTTGTTTCCCATCTCTCAGGGATCACTCTTCCTTACCTGATGTCCTGTATCTTAAAAACTATTGTTTCATATAGTCTGTCTGTATTTTTAGTTTTTCAGGTAGGGGATGAAACAACTCACTGACAAATTCCAGAAGTCTTTAGATGGCTTATAAAGCTCCTGTTTACCGGTACAGTCTTTAGGCCATTATAAACTTTTTGCATTCTTTTGCCCCTTCTCCTCTTTCCCACTTTTTTTTGTCTGACTTCTGATAATCCTTCAGGAAGCCTTCCTTGGTGTCCCCAATTTTGAGTTAGATTCTCATCTGGAATGTTCCTTGTATTTCTCAAGAACATTTTCTTTTTTTTTAATTAACATTTTATTTTTATTTTATGTAATTAAATTAATTAATTTATTATTTTATTATTTTTGGCTGCATCAGGTTTTTTTTTTTATCATCTTTATTGGAGTACAATTGTATGGATATGTATGTTCCTATTACCATTTTCTTAATTGTTTTGGGTTTGTTATTGTAGGCCTTTTCCTTCTCTTGTGTTTCCTGCCAAGAGAAGTTCCTTTAGGATTTGTTGTAAAGCTGGTTTGGGCGTGCTGAATTCTCTTAGCTTTTGCTTGTCTGTAAAGGTTTTAATTTCTCTGTCAAATGTGAAATGAGATCCTTGCTGGGTAGAGTAATCTTGGTTGTAGGTTTTTCCCTTTCATCACTTTAAATATGTCCTGCCACTCCCTTCTGTCTTACAGAGTTTTTTGCTGAAAGATCAGCTGTTAACCTTATGGGGATTCCCTTGTATATGTTGTTTTTCCCTTGCTGCTTTTAATATATTTTCTTTATAGTTAATTTTTGGTAGTCTGATTAATTTGTGTTTTGGCATGTTTCTCTTTGGATTTATCCTGTATGGGACTTTTCTGTGCTTTTTGGACTTCATTGACTATTTCCTTTCCCGTATTAGGGAAGTTTTCAACTATAATCTCTTCAAATGTTTTCTCAGTCCCTTTCTTTTTCTCTTCTTCTGGGACTCCTATAATTCGAATGTTGGTGCGTTTAATGTTGTCCTAGAGGTCTCTGAGACTGTCCTCAATTCTTTTCATTCTTTTTTCTTAATTCTGCTCTGCAGTAGTTATTTCCACTATTTTATCTTCCAGGTCACTTATATGTTTTTCTGCCTCATTTATTCTGCTATTGATCCCTTCTGGAGAATTTTTAATTTCATTTATTGTGTTTTTCATCGTTTGTTTGCTCTTTAGTTCTTCTAGGTTCTTGTTAAACGTTTCTTGTATTTTCTCCATTTTATTTCCAAGATTTTGGATCATCTTTACTATCATTACTCTGAATTCTTTTTCAGGTAGATTGCCTATTTCCTCTTTGCATCAGGTCTTAGCTGTGGCACACGGGATCTTTCGTTGTGGCGCACAGGCTCTTCGTTTCAGTGTACAGGCTTCTCTCTAGTTGTGGTGTGCGGGCTCCAGAGTGCACAGGGCTCAGTAGTTGTGGTGTGCAGGCTCTCTAGTTGTGTCATGTGGGGTCCAGAGTGCGTGGGCTCTATAGTTGTGGCACGTGGGGTCACCAGTTGTGACACACAGGCTCAGTAGTTGTGGTGCGTGGGCTTAGTTGCCCTGCGGCATGTAGGATCCTAGTTCCCTGACTAGGGATCGAACCCACATCCCCTGCATTGGAAGGCGGATTCTTAACCACTGGACCACGAGGGAAGTCCCTACTTCCCAGTTTTTAACACTTACCTTACTCTTAATATCCTCTCCACAGGCTCTTAGTTCCATTATGGACAACACCAGTTTCTCTGAGACCTCCTTGAAGACTGTGACTGTTTTATTCATCTTTTTGTTTCAAGCACCTAACGTAGTGCCAGGAACCTAGTTGTAGACTGAGTAAATGAATACCATAATCCCTGCCCTCAAAGAGCCTTCTTTTAAATTCTTGAAAATACTGAGTGGGGGAAAAGAATAGTCAGTTATCTTCAGAGAAGCCTTATGTTTGGAGAAGTCATCTCAGGAGATTTTAATGTCAGTAAAAATACATGCTTTATGTTTGCCAGTGTTTTCTTGCTCATTTTCTTTAACTGTACCTTATTGTCTTCATAGCCCTTACTATTTGAATTTATTAGTCTACTTGTTTATTATCTATTTGCCCTGTTAGAATGTAATGTCAATCTTTTTCACGGGTATCTCGGCTACCTAGAACAGTGTATGGCATATATTAGTTGCCCAATAAATATTTGTTGGTAGAATCTTATTGAATTCTTATAATGACTTTGAGGCAGGTACTATTGTTATTCTCATCTTACAGATAAGGAAACTCTGAGAAGTAAGTAATTTGCCTAAGGTCACAAAGCTGGCAAATAGTGGAGTTAGATCCTACCTAAGGAGTCTGATGCTCTGGCAAATGCTCTAATTACTTTATTATACATTCTCTAAAATGCCTCAGAAATTCTGGAGCCGTGTAAACAGTATTCTAGCACCAAGATAAGGGAAAAAATATGTAGAAGCCTCAAGGCTAAAGAAATCAAGTATAGAATAATATGATTGATAATAGCTAAAATAAGATAAAGTTTTTTGTTTTTTAAGGATTTTTTTTGTTTCGTTTTGTTTTTACTGGTTAAGAGAATGAGCTCAAATCAGAGTGCCTGGGTTTTAATCACAGTTCTGCTCTTTACAACCTTTGTAACCTTGATTAAGGTTTTAAACTATTGCTACTTCATTTTCCCATTTGTTAAATGGGGATGGTAATAGTATCTATTTTACAGGGCAGCTAGAGGATTAAACAAGTTAATGCTTATAAAATGCTTAGATTATACCTGGCATATCTTGGAGCTTATTAAGTGGTAGTAAAAGTATCATCATCAGCAGTTGTAGTAGTAGCAGCAAATACTTACATATTTGTATGTTGCTGATAAAAGGTATTATATAATACTGGTTAATAATATTAATTTTCAGAAGTTAGGTTTATAATTAGCAAATTCTTTTAATATGTGTTAAAGATGTTTATAGCTCAACCTGTTTAGGATCTAGACCACTTGACCATAAGCAGAGCTACTGTGCTCCTGGCTGAGTATCTTAATTTTAAACTAAGTTCTTTGATTGATTTCTTGTTTTGGTTATGTACTATGTTGATCATTTATTATGATCTTCTTATTGGCAAAGTATAATTGTATCTATACATGTGTATCTATATCTTTATATCAGTTTTATTTTTAAACCAGAAGTTACAAGTTTTCTTCCTTGGCTTTAGCTGGTATAGGTCTACATTGCTTTAGAAATGCAATAATTTTTCATAGATGGGTGATTTATTACTCATAATGTTAAAGGTATGGGTTTCTGACAATTTCTTATAAGTCTGAAGATTTATTGAAGAAGCTAAATC